ACGAGCTGTCTTGGGGCTTCGAGCTTCGTCCTGCCAACCTAGCCCAGGGTGGCTTTGTTCTGCCTCCCAGCCAGATCTTGCCCTCCGGTGAGGAGAACTGGGCTGGCATGAAGTGGCTGTTTGCCAACTTCTAAGCTTGCACAATGGAGCACGCGTGTACAATGATTGATGTACATATTACCTGCCCGGTGAATGAATGATTGCCATCGGGCAATACATAGCGGAGACTGGATGAAAAAAAAGACGAACAGATGATAATGACGATGAGAAAACTTCGATGTCATGACGTTATCATACGAAACTGGAACCGTATATACAATGCTACATCGTGTTTCATGACGTCGTAAGCTACAATTAACAAGGGCCTTCTATTGCCCATAGTCCAATGTGCGTCACGCCAATAAGCTTCAATGTTATTGTCATGAAGGTTGTTAACTTAATGCATTCTTGTGGTATGGGTGGCCTAAACGCAGACGTATTGAAGTTCCTCGGAACTTGAGATGAGACGTCTGCGGTCTAAGCTGCAAACCCGACCTCCTCGCCCCGAAGCTCCAAGCCCAACACACTCAGGGAACAGATGGCGTCATTCTCTTTATCACGGTGGCCAAAGAAATTGAGGTCCAGATTGTTGTGTGAGTGAGCTCAGTGCGTCGTTGTAAGCGATCACTCCTTGAAAGGATCGACATTGTCCTCGCAAGAACCAACGAAAACACAGCCTCCATTGGCCATCGTTACATGTTCGAGCTGAGTGTCGCAGGTGGCCCGACGTACAGCCGCCTGAATGCAGCCGTCATTGAATTTCTCGACTGGAAAGTCGGGCGTAAAGTCAAAGTCGACAGAAATGCCATCATGGCCGTCGAGGTCAGACATGAAGTGTGTATTGCACCGTGTCCAGTGAATGCGAGGTGAGCCGCATTCATCGGCGATATAGTCGTAGAATACGGCGCACCAATTGGGGTTGGTCTCTCCGTTCGGTTCAATGCTTACGGTGAAGCTGACATGGGTGTTGCCAGGGCAGTTTTCGAAATAGTACTCGCAGGTGGCGGTGGGTCGTTTGTCGAGCTCAAGGACGTTCTTGCAGTTCAGGAAGCCCCATTGCCAGTACTCTGGAGGCCAGGGATTGTAGTTATTCCAGTGCTGGGGGGATCTATAGTATCCTCTATCGTCGCGCTTCTGAACGGCCGAAGCGGTGGCGTTGACAAGAGCCGGCTGAGTCTCGTTTGAGTAGTTGTGGTCGGTAATAAGGTTATGGTTCGCCGCAATACGACCAGCGGCGGTGTTCACGAGCATGGCCCAGAAGAGGGATAGCAAATGTCGGAATAGCATGTCGGAACGAGGCAGGTAGAAAGGTGGAAAATGGGGCAAGAAAGATGAGTTGAATCGACAGAGGGGGGGTGAAGGGTTGAATCGCGTTGCAGGTGTGAAAATGATGTCGAAGCGAATTCTGCTTTGCCGATCCAGAAGGATTCAAAAGCTGGTGTAAGGCATTAAGTGTGTGGAGGCCTACCTTTGAGTTGGTGCAATTGTAGGGAGGAAGACGAAAAGCTGAAAGGCTCAGTGAAGCAAAGCTCATTCACTGAAGGATGGCCTCTACCACTGTGTATACTGTTGTCCCAGGCAAGCACACATTTCACTAGTAGCCCCCCTGGCTACTACTCCGATAAGTTAGCGTCATGTAGTCCACTCCTCGAAAATTTCAGTTGACTGGTTTCTCCGGATGCAGTTTCACCACCTTGAATGACGGTCACTCCAGGCGCTGATCTCTCTAAGGAGTACTATAGCACTTGTAGAAGACCTCCATGACCTGGGTAGAAATCGAAATCTTCCGTCGTAACTATATATCCAAGCATTCTTCCATAAATAAGTATCCTTCACCAAGGCACGCTATTCATTCTCCTCTCCATCCAATGTCCTCTCTTGAAGCTCATAACAGCTGCCTAGGTCTAATGAAGACTATTGCGCTTAGCTGGGCTTACGAAGGGCACACTGATGCCCTGGGTCCTGCATTGGCCTTGACATAAGAAGGTACATCGGCTGTTGCTGTGAGAGTATAGCTGTAGTAGTCGCGCGGCTGGAACGCTGTGCCTGAGTTTGCAGCCACAGTTCCAGTGTATGACTGATAGATGTTACCCGAAGCATTAAGAATCGCTCCTGAATCCTTGGTCAAGGGATTGCGGCAACTCTCAAAGTAGACATTCTCCACCCGAGCATTCGTCGATCCACGGGCGTAGTGACCATATGAAGTCACTCCCAAGACATAATTGTTGTAGAGATGACACTGAGCAAGGTTGTCGGCGCTTGGGTTGCGTTGGTTTGTACGGTCGAACCAATTGTGGTGGATGGTGCCGCGCGCAACAATGTTTTCCGTCCAACCTGGTAAACGCTGATGAGTAGTTGCTCACGATGAAGATCACGATCTTGATATGAGGCAACGTACCGATACCAAAAGCCTTATCGTGATTCCGGAAGATGTTGTTGGACACTGTAAAGAACGTTGTGTCTTTTCGCAGATCGAGCAACCCATCGCCGCCATTCTCCAGCAAACCTGCAGCAATAATGTCAGTTAAAAGACATTTGATTCGAAATTGAAACTGACAATGATCTATCCAGATGTTGCTTGTGGTATCCTTGGGTTGTCAGCCATTATAACAACCTAATTCGCCTGCTTTGGAGCGGGATACGGCATGTAAATGAACTCACAGATTGAATCCCATCGTAGTCGTTCTCTGTAGTCATCGGCGTGTTTCCTGCCGTTGCAAATCATTTTTCAGTCTTAAGTCGGTTGAAGAAAATTTTCAATAATTTGGACAACATACCGATCTTGAGGTTTCGAATGATGACGTTGCGAACCCCATGGATGGCAAAGCCGCCTTGGTCTTTTAGCTGAAGTATTACTGATGACTACACAACATTGGAACGCACCTTGGTAAATCTCGCCCGTTGATCCAAGGCCCACAATGGTTTTATCGCTTGAGACTCGAACCTCTTTACCAAATGGTACAATGGTGATTCGGCCTTGAACCTTGATGACATGCCGGCCCGAAGCACTGGCATATTTCTCAAGGTCGGATTGGTTAGTGACAGTGATAATTGTTCCGCCCGCACCACCAGTCGTTCCTCCATTGAGTGAGGCAAAGCCGTCAGCGGTTGCCACGCATGCTGATGTCCCAGATGTGGGGGGTGGAGCGGATGGCGGAGAAGGCGAGGTGCCCCCGGATGGGGTGCATTGCGAATACCATTCACCTTGGGCAACACAATTGCTGCCGCTGACGCAACAAGTTGGTCCAGCCCAGCCAGTGCCGCCGCATTGGGCCCTACCAAGACGATGATCAGAATGCAGTCTCTGACTTCCCACAAGAGAAGTCCTACCAAGCTGTACTACAAGACTGACGTTCTGCAACGTCTGCGACATGTGCTGCAGCAGGCACAATGCACGCGCAGGCGATGAAAGAAATCAGAGAAGTGAGCATCGCGCGATACATTGATGACACGGTATATATTTCCGGTCATAGAGACCTCTGTCGTCGATATGTCCAAGGCTCTACTTATAAACACTTCAGCATGGTTTTTGAGATGTAACGCCAAGGGCCATCCGTTGTGGCGAGCGCATCAAGCTACGGTTCACCCCGGGTGAAGGTAGTGACATAGGTAGACCCCGGGCTTCAAAAGCACCGAGATTCGCCCTCGGTGTTATGCGAATCCCTCAATGTACGCCATTCTCCTCGGGTTCTGTTCCTGAATAGGGTTGCGGAGGGCTCGGCCGCGGAAAGGCCCAGACCCATGGCCAGCCTGCTGCGGTACAAGGGACATTCATGGTTCAAACGTCTCCAATCGAGTCAGCGCAGAACGCCTACTTAGGAAAAGATTTGATTATCTGCATGCATACTTGGCGGCCTCGCATCCTTCATTCACGGATAATTCTCCGACCTCGAGTGCGGGGGCGGAGTCAACAGACCGAGAGTCGAAAACGGAGGTCCCTGATGGCATGTGCCCAGTACAATGTCTCCCAGTCCATTTGAGCAATTACTGTGAAACGCCGATGATCAGATCAACGATTTGGCGTCTTTCTTCTTCTTTCAGGAATGGACTGTGACCACAGTCAAGCTCAACGATCTCAGCGCCGGACGCCTGCGCCATAAACTGTTGAAAGGCAAACGGCACCGCGTTGTCTTTCTTGCAAACGACATAGATCTTCGGGATCTTCAAATCGCCTGCGAGAAAGTCTACATTGTCTGTGAATGGTTGCTTGCTCTGTTCTGCCAACAGGGCCACGGCCTCATCTCTGAGACCAGCTTCGACGTCATTATAAAAGGCTGTCGTAACCGCTTCAAGCTTCAATGGCAGTGTATTTTCCTGCGATTTCGTAAGCTGTGAGAATCTCCAGAGAGGTCGGTGATAATCTGACCTTAACATCGTGAAATTGCAATGAAAACCACTCGCCCCCGCCAGCTTCCAGAATCGAGACGCTCTTTTGAGTGGCCAATCCACATGCGATGTAAACAATGGAAATAATGCCCCCTTTGAGGCCTCGGGCTTCCCTCTCTGCAAGTGTGTGTCCCTCGATAGCCATGGTGCCCGGAATTCCGCCATAGCTGTGCGCGACGATTATGGCAGTTCTTCCTGCATCCAAATAAGGCAAGAGGTCGTCGTGGTACCTTTTGACGTCATCTTTGTGTGTTTTGCCGACGACTGAGTCGCTGTATCCAGAAGTGGCATTCGGTGGTGCCAGAACTGTGTGTCCCTGGTCTTTCAGCGCATTGATCAACAAACGATAATGCAAAGGGCGATGCCACGCCCCATGGGCTAGGAGCACGACTGGTTGCTGGCTATGTGACATGATTGAAAGGACCTTGACAGAGATTTGCCATGTCGAGGTATACAGAAATTGATCGTTCGGACGTCTCTACCTTCTTTAAATAATTATGGTTGCCGATTGCTCAGGAACATGATGACAGTGGCTGAGACACCAATCGCTGGATCTGTTGTATATGCCCCGCAGTCATCCTACGCTGGACGCAGTCAGCTTATGGATGCATGCCAGGATGGGACAGCTTGCAGCCAGTCACGATCCTAAAGCCGATCCACAGGCGACACCTTATCTGATTTTTGTTGCTAATATGGTCTGATGATACCCCATTAGAGTGGACCGGAAACTCGGTATATATTCACAATGCTGTTTCGGGCCCCATGCGGCCGATGAGGTCTGTTCAGAGCATCAACATCATTCCCGAAAGATACGACGAAGTCCCAATGGATTCTCCATCAAACATTTTTCAACCGATGGTTGACGGCCACTAGGATTGTGTGTAGCGCCTCTAACATAGGTGTAGCTACCCCAAGCTCCCTGGCCTTCCTTAGCGGGTAGCCCAAAATGATGTCAACTTCCATCTCCCGGCCTGCTTGGCAGTCCATCGCCATGCTGCTGCTGATTGGGCCTATTGACAGAATTCTGTCGATCAAGCGGTCCGCGAGCTCGTGATCGAGCGGCACATTGCAGGCTATCGCGACATCTATAACCTCCGTCATGAGCTTATGCGTCATAAGCTTGGCTCCAGGAGAGGAGCGGAGCCAGGCATGCGTGTCGAGTTGTGTCAACGTGGTGAGGGAGTTCCAAGCGACGTTCCAGACTACCTTTTCCCAGCGCAAAACTTGGATGTCGGGTACCACGTTGAACTTAGTGTTTCCTTGCCTGAGTAAGGCAGAGAATCTGTCGAGCTTCGCTTGCTCGGACCTGGAATCAAGATCACTGTTCGGATACAGTCCAATCTGCAAATCTTCAGACTTGATCTGCTCGAATTGGCCAGGCTTGGGTTGTGTGGCTGCTGTCCAAGTCTGGTTGCGAATGATGAAGTTAGCAATTGCGATCTTTTGCGACACACACACAGCCCGAGCTGGGAACATACCACACAGGAAATAATTGTCGCACGAGGGAACCGTGTTCTGAAGGGTTCTTCGTTGCCAACGCCGTTTTGAATGATCGCAATGGTAGTCCTCTCTTCGTCGACAGCTGGCGCAATCTGGGCTGCTGACGCGTCTTGATCAAGTGCCTTGTTGGCGCAGACAATGAGGTCAAACCTCTGACCGGCTTCCGCTACTGTCCTGAGAACTGCCTGCAATTAGTGAATGAAATACCAGTGACAGAAGAGGTCGCCCATGCCTTTCGATGGGGCTATGATGTGACGACCATGACTCTCGCTGTTGAGAACAATGCCTCCTTCCTTGACGGCACTGAAATTCGATCGCGCCACCACCGTCAAGCGGACAGTTGGTGCTCTGCTCAAAATAAATGCATAAAACGAACCGATGCTTGTGATTGTATCAGCTTGGCTTGTTAGGAAACCTTGTGCGTGGATCTGTACTCACGCCCCTAGCCCATACACAAGCACATCAGTGTGTTTTGCTGCAGACATGACGGCTGTGACTTGAGATCCTGTACAGAGGGAGATCGGACACCTGTTTCGTGTTAATCCGTGACTATGCCTGAATGTCTTGCTCGAGAGGATACGCCACGCCTGCTTCAAATTACTGCCTAGATATGAACATTTGTTCATATCCATAACAAGGTCCATAACCCGGTCCCAAGTCCAGCCCACTTGTTTCCATCCCATGTTGTGTAAGGAAGGGCGTGCACCATGCCAATCTCGGCTCATGTGGCCCCGCATCGTTTCCTTGGCTGTTGTTCTTCTGCATTGAACTTGGGAGAAAAAAGCTCTCCTTGACTCGAGGCACCGCGATGGATTGTGCTAGATCTGGGGCGCAATCTGGTCCTTGCGTGGTATGCATCGTGCCAGGATGAGCTTGAATGAGTCAGTCTCTCATCTCTCTCCCGCACGGCTGGTTCACACCAATCCCGCCACCCGCGCTTAGGCACAACTCGGACCACGGCCAAACGGCTGTTCTATACCTTGGCAGTATCTCAGCACAGATGCATCTCGAACCACTGCTAACTGCCAAACTCTGCATCAGGCGTTTTGAGTCTTTGCAGATTCCTCTCAGCTACACTGAGACTTGCGGCGACGTGCAGTTGACAGCTTCTCGTCGCGCAAGGTGCTAGGTATCTACCTCAAAGCAGACGCCGTCAGACCCCTGTGGCGTGCCGGCATCGATGACGCAGACGGGATGCAGTGTCTTCTCAGAGTGTCGCAGAACAAGCCTTTCGAATTATTGAAGAATTGGGGCTAAAGGGAGTTGTGCTTTCGGAGAGATTGGATGCGCTGGTGGCTTCGAGCGGCTCGACAACGGGAGATGTCGCCCTGGTACAGCAGTCAAGGCCTTCGACTTAGGGATGCTGTTGTTATCGGATGCCGTGTAGGACCCCAGAGTCAGTTGACCAAGTGTAGCTAATTCGCTGTGCTAGTTGGCAGGTAGATCTCGACGATCGTCTTGCGCACTGGCGAAACTACCTGTATCTTCGTTAATGTTTCAAGAGGCTACACCAAGCCTTGTACACGACTTCTTTCTCGAGAAGCTTGCTTTACATCAGTTGACTTGCGCTCTGATCGCCGATTCAACGCACATGTCAGCTAAAGCAAGGCCATCGCAGAAGATCGAGAATGAAGAGCAAATCTCGACAGATTCGCATGCGGGGGAGGCCGTCACATAAGTTGACCACACGAGAGGGCACGCTCCCAGAGCCATGTCTCCTCGGTGTCTCACGGCCTGGTCACCCTGAACGCGACGCGCTTGTCGTGGCAAACGCAAACCGTCCGACTGGCCTTCGCCATTCCAGCCGTAACTTCGGCTGCCGAGTTTCGCATCGTCAGTCCGACTTCACTTGACAGAACGGCGTGCGATGCCACTGACAAAGCGCCATGAGAACGAAGGAGGTCTGATAGGGACATGCAGGGACTCACTCACATATTGAAAATCCCGCCGACGGCCTCTCTCGTGACGTACCTTAGCCTGATCTACCATCAGGATATTTCAAGGCAACAGCGATCTTGAAATGGTTATTTTGGGGGGGTTTCTTTCTTTTCTGGCCCGGGGAATTCGTCCGCAGAGGCTAATATGCACGCTGCCAGCGCTGACTGGGTACAAGGCCCGAGAGCCGAGCCTGCAAATAAAGCCACGCTATCAGTCATTGTGAGAAATGTCAAGTCGATTGGCGAATATAAGCGGAGAGCAATAAAGAACAATGGGCGGAGGAAGGGTACGACCCGGGTGGAGGGTGGCCTAGAGTGAACTTTATACCAAGAGCGCCGGTAGCGGGACAACGAACAAGGTTAAACCTTCTGGAACTCATGGTACCATTGACTTGCACTTCTGCAGGCCCATCGCAGATGTGAGTATGGAAAAAGCAAACTCTTAAGCTCCAAGCTTCGGATTTGGTATTATTCGACGAGATATAAACTGGTGTAAGGTCCATCTCTTTTTGTACAGCAGCGGTGCTTCCTTCTAGGAATATGTGTTAAAACAACATACAGTAGGGCGATTGACCCGATCACCCAATGGCGGGCGGTAGACAGAGTAGGAAAAAGGCGATGCTCCCGGATTACGCTGCAGACGCCCACCAAAAACTTGACTCAATAAAACTTGCGCACTGTTCATGCCAAACCCAAGGCAGTGATGGCATCACTTCACCTCGATGGCCCCCCCGGCCCATGCGTGAAGCCGAGACGACCATACTTATCGGTGTAAGGCCTCTCGTTACCGAAACAGGTGACATAGTTCATGACTTCGGTTGTGTTCATGCCGCCGGGGTGTATCTTCTCCATCTCCTCGCGCATTTGATTTTTAGGGCTTCCCTTCCTTGAGCCGGTGCCTTCTCGAAGAAAGACTTTTTGAACCATAATAGACGCAGCTGGAGTTACCCGCCGTAGCGCCCTTTTTTTACCTAGAAAATCGTTGAGTTGTTTCCACTGCACTGTACGGGTCGGCCGGGGAAGCTCTTGGGCGATCTCTCGCCAAACGCCGCCTGCGTTGACATCAGGCTTGCGTAGGTAAGTCGTTGATTTTTGCGACGTACGTCGTCGCATGTGTCGTACACCTTGACGCCCTTCTCAGTCTCCCCCCAAGCGTTATGCCGCTGACATCAAGATCCTTGCTCTCACGCCACGACGGACCTTTTTACCGGGTGCCGCCTTGAGACCCTGCAGTTCGCGCTTGCGGAAGAAGCGATTAGCAGCGTGAAAGACGTCGCTACCGTAGCCGACGTGAGGGCCGACCTGCTTCATGAAACGCTGGTACGATGCAGGAGAGCAGCCAATGGCCGTCTGGAATTCGCCGACCTTCATATAGCCGCCCTCTATAAAGTTACGGATCTTGCGGCGGATCTGGTTGGCCGAGTCTTCGCAGAGGTCGAGGCGAGGGTCGTCATCGTCGATCTGGGGCAGGGCTTGGCAGTCTTCGATGGCGTCTGACTTGCGTTTTTTGTGAGTCGACGTGGCAGAGGACGAAGGTGGGTTGAGGTTCGAGGTGGCCGCAGCGTCCACCGTGCTTCGCGCTCCCACCATGATCGAAGGATGAGGTATCGTTCCTGGAGGGGTTGCTGTAGCTATCGGCTGGTGTGCCGTCGAGATTTGGTGGTATGACGTCGGTGTCGTCGTTGTTGGGGAGTGGTATGTTGGTGGCGGTTGGTGGTGTACAACGGGTGGTGGGTACGCGCCGGTTGCATGCGATATGGGAGGCAGGTGTGCTGTGGTCGCTGGCGGGTGGGATGATGCGACGGGAGGATAGGCTGATGCTGGAGGGTGAGGCGGCCGAGCTGTGGTTGTGCCGAGTGGTATTAGCGCAGGAAGAGATGTTGGCCTCCCTTTACTCGCGGCACCAGCCTGGATATTCTCGTCTCGTAGGGAGAGGGGAGCAACAAGTGAAGCCTGGAAGAGGACATGTGAGCTAAGAGAGCCTCGAAAGCAGACCAATAACTTGGTGCAGAGAGTGAGGAGAGCGTACGATGCCAGGTAGGATGGTGTTGGCTGTGTTGGTGGTGTTCGTGGTTTGTGGAGGGGGTGTTGGGTTGGATCGGTTGGCATCAACGTTTGCCAGCGGTAATGGCTGACTCTCCGTTTCCCAAGGCCGCCAACTCTGGACCATGGCTGGGTCGGACGAATGGATGTGTGCTTCAAGCAAATCCCGAGCACATACAAAAGCAGCAGCAATTGCAGGTATCGAAGGAGGGGTCGGTCGGAAGTGGATTTTTTTTTTAGAGGATTCGGGAGTGGAGGAGTCGAGCCTGCAGGTGTTTGTACGGGTGCATGTGTGTGTGTATGAATGTGGAGGAGACAAAAAAAAAAGAAGAGAGCAGAGCCGGTATCCGATGCAGCTTCAGGCAGGTTTGTTTGGTTAGGCAGGTTTGCCAAAATTGGGGTGAGAAAGGGGTGAAGTCATGATCCAAGTATTTGGCTCCAAGGGCTCCAAGGGCCCACAGCACAGCGCGTGTTGACGCGCAGTGTTTCACGCTAATTCCCAGACCCTGCATGCACCTGTACAATGTACAATGCACCTTCCCTTCTCTCCCGTTCACTGCTGATTGCCTGTCTTGGTTGGGGCTGAGTCGTACCTGGTAAAACCCAAAACCCGCCTGATGCTAGTGCTAGCGTGCTAGAGTTGTCCAGTGCTTCTTGCCCGAAGCTAAGCGAACGAGCGAGCGAGGGAGGAAGGGAGCAGGAGCAGGGGGGCCATTCCGGTACCTACCTACCTACCTAGGCACCTACCTACCTAAGGTACCGTACTGTCGAGCAGGAGCAGCACCTGCCGTTGGGTGGCCCAAGCTCCTTCTCCGTTGTCACCTGCGCCTGCCTGAGCTACCCTCAACGATACGCACCTTACGTAACCGTGGTCACCTGCGATCATCGGCTCCCAGATCGCGACATCACGAGGGACGTAACACTACCTCTCCCTTCTTCTATCACTCTGCGCCAACCTACTCCAGCCTCTCGACCTCCTCAATTGCCCCCGAATACCACGACCACACGCTCCTGCAAGCCCAATGGTCAGGAACCTTCATCTGACAGGCCTTGCGGCCGCGCTTGGCGGCGCATCAATCTTGGGGGCTCTAGCCCAAGGTATTGACCAAACACCAATGGTCGATGAACCTGAACACAACGTCGCCAAGCCTGTCCTCTCCGGTGACAGGTCTGCGATTGACTCTGAAGCTCTGCAGAAGCTTATCAAGGGCGACAACCTCTTCGAGAGGGCCAAGCAGCTGTACGAGATCGCCAAGCTTGGCGAAGCCGAGTACAACCACCCCACGCGGGTCATCGGTAGCGAAGGTAGGTTCAGTTCGAGACCCCTCGTCTGCAGCCTGAGTGCATCACGGCAATCCATTGACACATTACTGACCTGCTGTAGGCCATCTGGGCACCCTCGACTACATCTACTCCACCATTTCTCAGCTTGGCGACTACTACACCCTCTCCAATCAGTCATTCCCTGCAGTCACTGGCAATGTCTTCGAGTCGAGACTCGTACTCGGCAACAAAGTGCCCAAGTCTGCATCTCCCATGAGCCTGACGCCTGCCACGAAAAACAAGGAGCCGGTGCATGGCGACCTCGTGCTCGTCCAGCACGAGGGATGCGATGAGTCCGACTACCCCGAGGAGGTTCGCGGCAACATCGCTTTCGTCCTTCGCGGCACGTGCCCCTTCGGCACCAAGTCGGCCAATGCCGGAAAGGCTGGCGCCGTCGCCGCCGTCATTTATAACTACGAGAAGGAGACGGTCCACGGTACCCTCGGAACCCCGTCGCCAGACCACGTTGCCACGTTCGGCCTTGGGTACGATGACGCCAAGCCCATAATTAAAAAGATCAAGAAGGGCAAGACTGTCGATGCCATTGCCTACATCGACGCCGTCGTCGACACTATCCAGACTACCAACATCATCGCCCAGACTGTAGGCGGCGACCCTGACAACTGTGTCATGCTAGGTGGCCACAGTGATAGTGTCGCTGAGGGACCCGGTATCAATGACGATGGCTCTGGCAGCCTGTCGCTTCTTGAGATCGCCACCCAGCTGACCAACTTTGACGTCAACAACTGCGTGCGCTTTGCTTGGTGGGCCGGCGAGGAGGAAGGACTCCTTGGATCCGACTACTACGTCTCCGTCCTGACGGACGACGAGAACGAGAAGATCCGGCTTTTCATGGACTACGACATGCTCGGTAGCCCCAACTACGCATACCAGATCTACAATGCCACTAACGCCGTCAACCCCACCGGTTCTGAGGAGCTCCGTGATCTGTATGTTGACTGGTACAAGGCGCATGATCTCAACTACACTTTCATCCCCTTTGACGGCCGTAGTGACTACGATGGCTTCATCCGCAACGGCATCCCCGGTGGCGGCATCGCGACCGGCGCCGAGGGTGTCAAGACGAAAAAGGAGCAGGAACAATTCGGAGGCAAGGCTGGTGACTGGTACGACCCCTGCTACCATCAGCTCTGCGACGACCTCCACAATGTGGACGTCGAGGCCTGGGAGCTCAACACCAAGGTATGTTACCACCGCCGATGATCATTGCATGTGCTCGATACTCACGATCCATCAGCTTGTGGCTCACTCTGTTGCGGTTTTCGCCAAGTCCTTTGACGGATTCCCCAAGCGGACACTAAAGGACGTTGCTTCGTCCGAGCACGCGGCGAAGACGTTTTACCATGGAAGCAAGTTGGTTATGTAATGACGTTGATTTAACTGAAGAACTCGCCTATTTCAAAGTCATCTTGTGTTGAACTAGGTTTGGTGATATTTTCCGCCATGGTTAGATGCATGATTCATACTAGTAGTACCCAAGCAATAGATCAGGGGGCGGTGTCAGAAATGAACGCATCCAAAACCAATCATCGATGCTATTCTGCCTATCTGGTTTTTGCTGTTGCATTTTCTCAGACGTGTCTGTCTTCTATGTATATAACCACTCTCTATGCTAAAAAGAAAATATGCAAAAGGAACAACCACTGTCCGAAGACATCCCTCTGTAATCTGTCGGTCAATTCAGTCCGCTCCAGATGCTCCGAGGAGGGGGGCGCCACATCAAAGACAGAACTTACTGGTCCTTCGCCATCTTGGCCTTCTGCTGAGCACGTTCCTTCGCAGCCTCAGTCTTTTTGGCCTGAGCCTCTTCCCTTGTCCGCTCCCACTGTGTTTTCTCCTCGAGCCGCGCCCGGATCATCAGCTCCGTGGGCGGCCGCTGGTCACAGCCAGTAGCACAATCAGGACACAGCTCCGCGGCGACGGTCACGTCCCCATGGGCAAGTGAAGCAGGCTTCAGCTCACGGCACAGACGCACGGCTGACTGGGCCAGGGCGAGGTCGCCCCCGCCCGAGGCGACCAGGACGTCAAAGTGGCCCGCGTCGAAGAAGCTTGCACAGGGCAGAACCTCGGGCAGGACGACTTCGTCCGCCGAATGGATGTGGGCGCGTGTGGGGAACTTGGCTGTCTGAGCTGCGTCAAGCTCGACGGGGCGGACGAGGGCGCATGTAATGTCCTTACAGGGGCAGAGGCGGATGTTGAATAAGGTCACTCGACACATTGATTCAGTGGTCTTTTTCTTTTCTCTGCTAGTTAGTGTGTTTGCTTCGGTGTTTGTATCCTGTTGGTCTTCTTTCCGCTATTCATGGGATCGATCTGCTCGAGAAGAATTCGTTGTCTTAAGAGGATGTGGAAAGGCTGAAGCGTGGCCGAATAGCTGTTCTGTTCACCTTGCGCTGTTTTCAATCACTTGATTCGGTTTTGGACGTTTCCTTTGGGTATTTACTTGTGTTTTGGTGTCAAAATCGCTCCTGCGCAATACCACTGTCAAACCACAAAGATGGCCATGGTCGGGAACACTTTCGTCAACAGCTGCACCGAGTGCACAGAGTTATGAGCCACCACTAACCTGGCGATAACTTGCACAGTTTCCAGGACAGACATAGACGAGCCTGGTAATAAACCAAACTTCATCCAAGCCTTGTCATCCGGGGCGCCTTGTGTCTGATCTAACGTGATTACCGTTGGGCCCCACGAAGACGGAACTTAACACTTCCACTTCGGTGCGCATTCATCAGTGTGCAAAATCATCTGGTATAGGTGCTTTCGCAAACTGTAATATCTGACATGCGACATTTTCAATGTTCTTACAGTCTGCCCTGGGCTCTAGAGTTGGCATTGTTTCCTCTCTCGGTACTTAGAGGATGGGCTGTCAAGTCGTCGCGAACCAGTGAAGTCATTTCTTTGCGGCGTAGCTAACATCACGTACACGAATGTTGTTCAACGCCGATAAATGGACGTTGTATTCATTCTCATAGGCCGTCAAATTTCCTTCAACCCAGCGCTGCGGGTCCCGGGTCTGAGTATCCTCTCCCACGCCGGTGAGTCGTCGTGGGTGGTGGCGAATTCGATGCCTGGGAGCCCGAACAGTTCAGCAGGAGGTCGCTGTCGTTGATCTGCCTAACCACGGTCTCAACTTTGACGCCGGACCTCAGCCTTTGCAGCATGTGCACGGCGTCAAGGTCCGAGAGATCCATCAGCACCCCGTAAAGCTCCTCGTAGACCGACCTCTCTTTGAGAAACGCCCCGTGTTGTCGCCTCATTGCCTGCGCTCTCGTCTCCGCGGGCTCTGTAGCATAGTGGCACTGCTGCCCGCGTTTTACGCAAGGGCGGCATTCAGGCCTCTCGCCGGTGCACTTTGAGGCCATTTCTTGTCAGATCTGAAGCGGGTTCTCAAGTCTTCTTGGAACCAACTGGGAAGTTCGGCATTCTGGGAGTCTTCCTCACCTTTGCTTTGCGCTTTCGACAGGCCTCGCATGCCGCACTGATAACTGAGGTCCGTTGCCTGGGTGGTTTCGGGATCTGCTTCGGAGACGGCATCGGCTGAAGGTTGAGCAGGCCAGCGACCTGCGGAGGCGCTGGTACGGGGAGTATTCGTCGGAGCTTCGCCGCAGATTTGACCTGAGCTGTATTTTCGCGAGGCTGGAACGTGTTTGCCATGTTTGGCATCTCTTGGAGTCCTGATTTTTGACGAAGAAGTAGGTCTTGGCGCCTGGAGGCGGGTATTTACAGACGTCGGTTTGCACTCGTATGCGTTCGCGTATGTAGACAGTGTTGGGAACCAGCCCGAGCTCTAACAAACTCCAGGGCTCGCGACCGAACGAAGGTCCTGCCTTAGCTTGCCAAGTTAGGCCCGGTTGTTCCCTCCTCGATTTAAAATTGGAAAGCTCATTAATTCAAGTGTGGAAAGTTTGAATGACTGGACCTGTGACCAACAGCAGGTGGAATGATGATGGGTCAGTGATGGCACCGATATGAAGACTCTCGTGCAGGTCCCGGGTGGCCGCTGTCATGTAGTTGGAGCGCAGGCCTGGAAGCAAGTAGGCGGTGGGGGGAGGGAACGATGGGTCTGAGAAAGGGGAGCCGTGAAGCCTGACTGTGACAGATCACTTTGACGCCCTGGGGATGTGATCCTGCAGGCATGACACCAGGGTCGTGAGCTCAACAGCGCGCGCCTACTCTGTGGCTTACGTGCCGTTATCTGTGCTAACAATCCACCAGTTCCGACAAGCAAGATGTGTGTTAGAGCTTGGTGATACAAGGCACTGCGCGGAGACGGGATGGTGTGGGTGCCATCAAGGCTCGAGATCGTCCCTAGACGTGGGTGTGGAATGGAGACCCGGAAGGCATCTCCGCCCGAATCTGTCTCCCTAGGGACTCAAACAGCAGGAAGAGGAGTGCTGGCTGTGTAACTTCGGTTACCTGTTCCTCTCGTCGTTGGCTCAAAAGCATTACTCGGTCTGCTTTTCTTCTACACTAGAACCATAATATCATTGGACGACCCACGGGCGCTTTTCTCTGCTTGGCAGTGCCGTGCGGAAGGGGCTCCGACGGGAACCCAAAGTTGACTATCCAGTCGCCTGGATGTGCGCGCGTTGCCAAGGCCAGGTGTGAAGAAATGTACCATCATAGATGAGTCATTGTACTTCTTGACAGGACTGCAAATGCTACGTCTTGGCTGAGGTTATCCGATACACCAACAGACAATTGCATATGTGCAGGTGACAGGAATTGGCTGAGGCCTGCAGGTTTCCAGTTACGATTGGGGGCTTTCAACTACCCAACCGGCTGGTGCAACTAATGAGAAAAATGAGCCTCATGAAGCACACATGTCGCCCATTAACAGTCTATGTAAGTAGAGGAGCTTGTTCTAATATCATCAAAGACGGTCTTCTCAGTCGACACGGTAGTAGGCGTGCCAGGCTATGTCACGGAGTGTTTCTTTACGCAATCTCACTGTCAATATGCAGTGTTGCCGAGATCTGAAAATGTCCGAGCCCCATTGCGGATCTTTCCATGTCGATTGCCATCCAATGTCGCTAATCTTCGGGCTTCATCCGTATCCATGGCGTCTTGAGGGGAGGCTCTCCGCGCCTTCACTAACTTCAACGTACCCAGCCATGCCCATCATTAAGGTGGCCCGAATTTTGAACTGCATGAGCGCCTGTATCGCTTAGACGCAACACGAAGCCAAGGTATATGATGGCCAGAAGACGTCAAAGTGGAACAATTCTTGTTTGACTTGATGTCCATTTGGAGGTACCAAATTACGGATTACAGAATCGTACGAGGCCATAATCCCTGCAAGGCCCCAGAATTAAGGCGTCTATGGCGGCAGAAAGGCGGAAGGGTCCTACGCTGCCATGATTCAGCCAGTACGTTGTTGAGATCAATGATTGTCCCGCTCCAGCCATCTCGCGCACGCTTCATAAAAGCTCTGCACCTCAGACTCGTATCCCAACGCCGTCTGAAAGTGGCTTTCGCCCGCCGTTCTCCGCATAAACTGCAACGCCCCGGCGTAGATCAAATCGGCATACGAGACTGCGTCCCCATCATTAGTCCATCATCATGATCTCACTCCCCACTCGCACTTCGCGTCCGAGTCAGAAGAGGACAAAATGCAACAACTCACCAGTCTCTCCCAGGAAGAATGGACCTTCCGTCTCCCGCAACAGCGCGGCAGCCTTGGCAAACACCGGTCTTGCATTTTCCCACGATTCGTCTCCGCCCTGGGTTCTCCGGACCTCCTCGAGCGTCATGCCGAACATTTCCCGTCGTGTGTCTTCGAAGTAGGGCCGCGACGCGTCAGTGAGGCACTTAGTCGCAACGTTGGGGATCAGAACGCCTGTGAGCGGACCCATTGTCTCCCGAACGAGAGCCTGCACCTTTTCGGTAGCGGGGTCGTCGACGCGTAGCGGGCGCTCGGGGTACCGCTTCTCCAGCTCGTCGATGATGAGGCGTGAGTTCATGACAGCCTTACCATCCGGGAACACGACGGCGGGGACGGTATACGGCTTAATCTCCTCCGGCTGCGGGGCGAGGCCGAGACCCTTGAAGGTGGGCTCGATGTCGGGATACTGGATCCACGTGGTGGTGTAGGGGATCTGCTTGTAGTTGAGTGCCAAACGGGCTGGGCGCGTCGTCAGCATGCCGTAAGGCTTGTCGCGAGTGTCGGGGTCATGATGCGATCAGTCCGCGTTGCGGGGAACAAACTCACTCTTCCACGGGTTGAGCGACCAGCATCCATTGCCATTGTCCTTGCTGGGCAAATCGTAGAGGATCACCTTGTCCGACATGATGTGTGCGCTGCAAAGAGGTCTGTTGGTGAACAATGCCTTTTTCGAATCGAATACGCAGAAGTTTTCCACGATCCAATTTGTAGGGGCATAGGCAAACCAGACACAACACGGGGCGAGTGAAGGGCTTGAAGTACTCGCCATGGAGGCCATGTAATCGTAATGCTACACTGCACCTCTGACGCCCTAGTGGGCCGAGCGAAGGGCGCAGTCTAGACTTCCATCGCGCTCTTGAGAGTAAAGATCCAACCGCACAAGCATTGTTCACACGATATGCCAACACACTGTCTAAGGTGATGACCGTCGCGTTCCTCAATCTTCCAGATGGCGCCATTCCCACCTTGCTATGCACGCGGCTTACAACATGAGGCTGCACGACATTGCAGTCAGCGACAGCCACGCAGAACACGGGGCGCAGCACGGCACACAGCGCCCGGAAAGGAGCGTCTCGGCATGCAGGAGGATCTTTCGTATCGTCATAGACCCACTGCTTCCAGGGGACCAAGAGGGCTAGATCGACAGAGTGATGAGCGCCATGCGCCGCGCGACGGCATGAACCAGGGTACAGAACAGCACGAATCAATCAAGACGCAGAACCAGTCAGTGATGGCAGAAGCCTGTTGGATTGAAGCGCGCAGAGTAGCCTGCTATATTTACAGCGCATTGCTTGCGCAGCTGAAGACGCCCTTCGCCCCGGCCCTGAACTCCTCCAGGATCCCCTCAAACGCTGGCGTACGTGCCGACCGTGAGGAACACGACACCGACGCCGATGATGAACAAATTCAAGGTTACGGATACCGCGTCGCTGATCTTGCTAGGGCGTCCATATCCAGCGGCCTTGTCGACGGATCGCATGCGGAAGAAAGGCGACGCCCCAGAAGATGAAGCCGAAGAAGGAATCGAAGAGGGATGACATGAGCGACAAGACTGGGAGTGTATCAGCGCCCTTTATTCTTTCTTTACTTGGAGGGATGGCATCATATCCAGTTTGAAAATACGTACGAGAGCTGAAGATGGGAATGACCTCGGCAATGATGAACGCGGCAACCCACGCTGCGACTACAAAGTGTCAGAGCCGTGTGTTCGAAAGTTTATCGTAGGATAGAGACGTACACAGAATACCTGCCCAACTCGCCCAGCCGATCACGGTGTGCTCGTTGATATGGCGCTTGTTAGTCTCGAACACGCGGAAAAAGACGAAGCGGCTCGAAACAGCGGCGTACAGAACACCAAGGAAGATGAGCGTCGGGATCATGAACGAGAAGGCTACTTTTTTGTGAACCTCGTCAGACAGCGAGCCGAAAGCCGGGGCCGTCATGTACTGGTTGCCGACATTCGAGTAGATGACGGCACCGACGATGCTGAAGACGATGATCTCGCCAATGGTGCACGCCCATAGGGCTTTCGGGAAGTCCCCTGGCCCAGAATCAGTATCACAGTAGTGCAAGTCAGGAAATTGGGAACTGTACGTACCGGGGGTTGCGCATCTCGGCAATGAAGCTCGGGAGCGTGATCTGGCCGATGAAAGTGTAGCTGATGCTCAAGAAGGCATTCATGCCAGCAACAAAAGGTCGTTCCGGGGACCGGCACAGCTCGCACGAGAGGTTCACCCATGGCGGCGTCATATCCGGCGGGATGGTCCTGGATTCCGGCAAAGATGGTTGCGAGTATGACAGAGATGAAAGTGAAGAGCGCAGACGCAACGGCGAACTTGGACAGCAGGTCAAACGTGCGCGGCAGAGACGACAGCCAGGATATGATGGCCATGACGACGGAGAAGACAACAGTGCTGCAGCGCGGCCCACCGGACGTGACCATTGTGTTCAGGTATTCGGCGCCGACGAGGACATGGAGACCTTGGATGAACTGCTGATCATCAGGACTGCCGGCGCGGCGAAGATGCAAGGGAGAAAGTACTTACGGTGTTGTTAAGGATGAACATGACGGCAGTAGCCCACCATGCCCAACGGTGGCCCCAGAACAACATCTGGCCAATGTCACAGATGTCGCGAACCTCGGGGTGGCGCAGACAGAACTGCCAAAGGACAAGTGATCTGTTGGTATTTAGCATGATTGCGGAGTCCTTTACTCGGGGAGAAACTAACGTGTAGAGCACTGTCGCGGCGATGAATATTGTGAGAATCAAGCTGTCAAGGTAAGCTTGGTGTCATAAGTGACTGAATCGGTGCATCTGTCCTACCCAGGGACCAGGCCTAATACGCTGTATGCCCATGGAAAGCTCATGATTGCCTATTCGGGTAAGAAAGAATTCATCCCGGACAGACGCCAGGATGGCACTCACTAAGCAAATGTATTCGGAAAACAGCAGAGCAGCAGTCTGTATTCATTAGTGTCTGCATGTCGACTTTGTTCATCCCCGGGGATGAGGCATACCTTTGGCCAAGAGCAAGTACGGTACTGAATGGCGCAACCATCCTCCTTGGCAAGCTGCTTGTGCAGAATATCCTCGCTCGAAGACACGCCGCCCTCGATGGATGACGTCTCGGAGCGCACCGAGTCTGCGACGGGGGCAATACGCGGGCCGATGGCCGTGTTGCGGCCGCCGAACCACTGGAAGCCGCTTGGCTCGGGCGCGGCCTCGACATCGCCGGCAGCCAGAGGCTTGCCGTCACCAACGGGGCTTGCCCGCTTCTCAAGGGAGGAGGAGTCAAGGGGCGAGCCCTCTGTTTCGTGCGTCGCCATGATACTATGTATCAGCAATCTCTCGGCAATTCGACGATGCTTATCGAGATCGAGATCGATATCGAGTATCGCAGTGAACAAGACGACAAGGCTCGGTTGTGGAAAGTATCTCGCACCCGGTTGGCGTCTCAACGTAAGCCTCAGATCAGATCGTCGTCAGGACACGCTTTGGTTCGGATTGTGGTGCCAGAAGAGAGGTCCGCCATCCAACAGTAAAGCAGCAGCAAGGGTAAGACGTCAAGAAGTGAAGGGGGCCGGCCACAGGGACGGGACCCTGGCCCAGAAGTATGGCCCGGCAAAGGACGTCCCCGGCGAACGTTGCACTCGTTTCCCAGGTACCTTAATCCCATTTTGCCTTGCTAGTCATCATCCAAAAAAACGCCCCCCAATCGTGGAAGCATCAGATGGCGTGCTCTTAGCTCCCCTCGATAATCTCTACCTACATCCACCGCTGGCCCTGGATCGTGCCGGTGATGAAGGATGGGAAGTGGCGCCGCCGGGGGCGTGCTCACACGTGGGGTACCACCGAGCCAGCACGTAAAGACCAGCTTTTGTCGGCACACAAGCTTTTGCTCCCAGCGAGTGAAGTCCCTGTAAGGTCGTCACTGGAGAGGGCGAGGAAACGCAGGTCTCACCCTCCCAATGAAGCACTGGCGCAAACAGCAGCACGCTATCCGGGCCAACACTATGTGGACCACCCGCGTTCGCGGCCAGACGGACTGGTTCCCATCTCGTGTCACGAACCAACGAGAGGGTTGCGACAGAAGGATTGAGATGCCGTCCGTTCCCGGACCCCTGTTTTCCGCGCAGACTTGGGCTCTGCCGGATGGACGTCGTGACGTCGGCGTGGCTGTCGGGGGGCGTTCCCGGCTGGTCGGGGCAGCCAAGAGAGCCAAGAGATTTCCGAATCTTTCACCCGCTGGCCACAGTCTACTTGGCAGGGGTCCCTCTCTCATGAGACCTAGGCGGGGGAGCAAAGAGGGCCAGAGCCAGAAAGGGCGTTCAACATGAGATTGCGTGATCGAGAACTCGTGCCCTTTTTCAACACAAGGTTTAGGTCATTTGCGACCCCTGGCTGCAGCGTTGTGAGAGAGCCAAGTTCTCCCTGGCGGAAAGCACTGTACGAGTGACGGTGAATACAGAGAGCCTGGCTGGCGTGTCGCTCCCTCTAGCAATTTGCAGTGATCGGCGGCGTTCTCGGAAACACGGCAGATGGGGGGAGAGCAATGACGTGAGACTGATCTTTCAACCTGACTCGTCGGCTGGGCCGCTGCAAACGTTACTACATACCAGAGGTATGCGGAGACGCTCCTTAAAAGGCCCATCTCGTGTTACCGACATGTCAAATCTCGATGCACTGCACCACGTTCGTAGTTCGGCAATGGGCAATGCTGAAAGGATGGGAGTCAATCATTGTGCTAAGCTTAACCAGTGCTTCTCCATGTGTAACTCCGGTTCCCATGCGTGATAGACTATGCCGTGCCTTGCTCAGTCAGATTCGCTATCCTCATCAATCCACGTGCTTTACTACGGCCTCCAGTATCACAGCTGCACCCCCAATCACGTCTGTATCTCGTCCCACTCGACCCACCGCCGTATCACCTCATCAACTCTCCTGACCCCCTCTCGTGTTGCCTCGACCTCAAACCACTCCCTGTGATCTCGTCCACACGCGCCGCAACTTCCGCGGGCTGCCTTGAGTCCTAGTCCGGCCAGCTCAATGTGCACCAGCCTCTCAACGCGATGGCAATGCGGCGCCATCCGCGGCGCCTGGCCCGACGCCTCACTCGCTCCCGGCAGGTACGGGTAGTACCGGATGACCTCGACCTCGTACCCGCACTGCCGCGACCACTGCTGCATACGCCGCTGGACGTTGGCTGCGCGGCCGATCTTGAGGAGCATCGTCTTCTTGTCTTGCTGGTTGGAAGCCGTCGACCGCGCATACGACGAGACAACATCGCTTGCGCGGCGCTGGCGGCCAGCTGCTGCTGTAGAGGGCGGTGCAAGAAGCGACCTGGCCGCATCGACTGGCGGCGGCAGCGACTTGTTGGTCGTGGGCGTCATCCAGAACATGTATATGTATCCTGCTTCCTCCGAATCAACGTACGGGCGTGCGAGTTCCGCCATCAGCGCCGACGCCGTCTGCGGATCGGTGTGGTCGGGAATGAGCGACAGGTACTGTCCCGTCTGGGATTTGGAGGACTTGGTCGAGAATTTCCCGGGAGACTGCGTCGAGAGGTTGGTAGGTCGCGAGGCACTCGACGAAGCGCCATTGTGCTTGGAAGGTCGCGGTGTCGAGACGTATCCCTGCTGAATGGGCTTTGGCTGTGGCCTCGTCGGTGGCTCGTCGTGGACCTCGTCGAGTGGGATCCGGAAGCAGAAGCAAAAGTGCAACTCTTTCTTCGGTTTCGGTCGGCTCATGGCGACGGCGGCCGGTGAAGGTTTTGCGTAGCCATTGGTGTGGCTGTGGCTGTGGCTGTGGGAGGGTCTCGCGCTGCCATCGTGTCGTCTTGGTCTCGGCTTCTTCTTCGCTTGCTTCTTTGCTCGAGCTCTACGAGTCCCAATCTGTCCGGCGAGCGTGTCGATGCTGGTTTCGCTCCTCGAGAATCGGTGTGGCGTTGCCCCGCGGGCCGGGACTCGAGTGCGCTGACATGGCCGCCTGGTCTCTGTGCTGCCAACAATACAACGTCTCGTCGCGGGGGTCATCGTGTGTGATCTTGGCCCGGCGGGGTTGCGGCAGCAGCGTCTGGGCTGGGTCGACGGGTGCGGCCGTGATGGGGCGTCGACATGGTCGGCCGCTCGTGGTGATGCCTCGGCAAGTTGTGGAGGGATTCTTGGAGTCGTTGCGCGCCACGAGCGACTCGGGCGTATTCGCAACAAAGGGCATTGTTGGTATTCGGGTTTCAAGACAAGTTCTGTAGACCTGCCCTGGTGTTGAAGTTATCGCTAGCTTCCCATGTCGAGTTCAAGCACTCGTCGTAGAACAGGCCCAAGACCATGGAGGGGCTCGATGGAATGTCAAGAAGCAGGATAAATCAGGGCTGGGGGAGTGCTTGGCCAAGTCACCGCACATTCGTACGCGTGAATCAAGGCCATCGCGACCTTGCATGCGACCATGGTCGTAGGGTCATGTCGTGACTGGTCTGATTCGGCCGCAGTAGTGGGATGGGATGGGGGGTGGTTGGGCGACTGGGGCACGGGTGCCTGGTCTTGACTGGGATTCAACATCTTGGGAGTGGCTGGGAGCTACACTGCCACAGTCCATGTGGCGCCAAGTTCACCGAGCCCACCGAGCTCACCGGGCAATCCTCCCACTTGGCGACCCTCAATGGATCGAATCTGCCCGTGGCGTAGGCGTGGACTCTCTTGATCCTTATCGTTCACTCGAATCCTCCGTCCAAGGGTTCGGCCTCGGGGTCCACGGGCCGCGAACATTGATCGAAAACAGCAACATCTTTCGCCGTCGCTGGGCGAAGCACCCCCGAACCAGTAGTACCGAAACGTGCCTGAATTTGGTAAGACACGACTGGCAAGTCTTCCATGCACCGGCCGGAACGCCCACGGCCCGATTGAGCGCCGACGCCGCTCACAGGCAGGTCGCCGCTGAGTGTGAAGCGGTCGGGGACTTGAGTCACCAGTGACAGCAGTGGCGTAGCTCGGCGGTAAGCCCTTGATTAGCAACAATGCTTGGACACCCGAATCGTCACTCAACACGACATGATGCCGAGGCGGCTTACTCGGCGGTGTATTCTTCCTCAAGATCTGATGGGCTCCGAATGTCGCCAAGAATAAGACGCGCCAGTCTTTCGCTTGCGCCTCCGGGGTATTTTGGTTTCCCCATTGACCACATCCAGCTCCCCGATTGGAGATAATTGACTTGACTAGCCCTCGCGGCACCTCGTACCTCGACGCATCCTGTTGTGAGAAACAATATAGCATGCTCTTGGCGTGTCACTCCGACCATTCGCAAGCAACCCTCCATGTGCTCCATGTGCTCCATGTGCTCCATGTGCTCCATGTGCTGCCACATGTACATGTGCAATTTTCTCTGTCAGCGCCCAGTTTGAGTTCGAGCTCTTGTTGCTACACGCTGCGTAGCCCTCCGCGGCCTTACACACATTGTGGCGTGCTCCAGCAAGTTCGCGCCCCGAGCTCACCGAGGCGGTTCCAGGCGACAAACCCGACAAAGCCGCAGTCCTCAGAAAGTAAGGTAAGACTAGCTAGCAGCCTGCCTAACGTGATTGTGCCTGCGTTATGCTACGGTCCAATATGGCTGATCTCGCTGGAAAGGGGCTGGATCTTTTCTGGTAGTAATGCATGGCCTGCGCCGCTCACCTTGGCTGCAGTGCCGCGGCTCTGTTGACGTCGTCGTCCTTGGCTTCTCATGTCGCAGGCTGAGATGCTAGAATCGACCTTTACGGTAGTATGTTTCGAATTGGTGATGAAAAATAATGCGCCAACGGGTGAAGCCTCTGTCGTGGTCGCGTATAAAGCTGAGAGCATCCGCGGCAAGACATAGACAGCAGAACTGGACTCATCTTCACATCTAGCCAAATCCACAATACAACGCGCCTTCACCTCGTTCGCAATTTCAACATGTACACGAAGCACCCCGCTCGCCTTATTCTCTCCGTCTCACTTCTTCTTCAGGCTGTCCCAGGCGTCACAGCGGTCGAGGTCAGTCGACCTTGGACCCCGGCTGATGGCCACTTGGGCGACACCAACGACGGCTGTGATCAGAGTCCTCCCCTGCCTCCTTCCGAAGTCGACGCCATTGTGGTGGGTGGCGGGTTCTCGGGCCTCACTGCCGCGTATGAGCTGCAACAGTTAGGCTACACCACACTCGTGCTTGAAGCGACGCACCTCCTCGGGGGCAAGTCCCGCTCCCAGAGACTGGAGACTGGTCCTGGCGTCGCGGAACTCGGCGCCACTTGGATTAACAACAAGACGCAAAAGACAGTTTATGAATACAGCGAGCGCTTCGGACTGGACACCGTCGTACAGTATAACGACGGCGATACCATTTTTCAGGGCGAAGATGGCAAGGTAACCCGCTCAACTCCAGGTGATGATTCCGAGGTATGTTATCATTAGTACCATTCTTCACTCAACAAGAGATCAATTGTGGACATCGGATGCTGACTGTGCCAGCCCGAGGACCCTGAGCTCGCTCTCCAGGAAGCTGCCTGGTTACTCCTCATCGAAGAATCTGCCGCCAAGATTAACATCTCCGACTGGGACAGTTTCCCCGAGAAGAAGGACGTTTCATTTACCGACTGGCTCGATATTTACAAGATGTGGGAGAAGCCGCACCTTCGAGCCCTCAGCCGTGGACTTTCCAGGGCTATCGTTGGACGCGAGCCGGAGGATATCGGAGCACACTATTTTCTCGACTACATCAAGTCGGGGGGTGGCCTTCGTAGTCTCATGTTTGAGGATCAAGAGGGTGCCCAATTCCAGTGGATCAGGCAAGGTGAGTCTCCCTCAAGAAACAACGATTCCAGCATGATGTTGATAGTTGAGACATTACAAGGCACCACGGCCATCGCAACCAATCTCGCCGAGGCAATGACCCCTGGAAGCGTACTCATCCACAGTCCCGTCCACAGCGTTGTCCAGCAGAACGACATAGCCATCGTCACCATCGAGTCTGGCCAGTCTTTCCGCGCCAAGAAGGTCATCATTGCTGTGACGCAGAACGTCTACGACAAAATCGCTTTCTCTCCCCCCCTCCCCTGCGACAAGCGCAACCTCGTGTCTCACACAAAACCAGGAATCTACGCAAAGATGGCCATTACCTATTCCAAGTCTTGGTGGCGCGACGCTGGTCTCGTCGGCAAGTTTACCTCTCTCACGGGGCCGGCTTGTTTCGGTTGGGAGATTTCGGATGCATCGCAAGATCTGCACGCCCTCATGGTGTTCATTGCCGGTAGTATCGCTGAGAAATGGAGCGCTCTGCCCGCGGACGAGAAGGAGAGGTCAATCATTGAGCATCTGGCTGAGATCTTCGGAAAGGATCTCGCCAACGAGGCGCGAGACGTGCGCGAGGTTCAGTACGTCGAGTGGACGACGGAGGAGTATTTCCTCGGTGGACCGACGACCACTCTCGGGGCGGGCATGTTGCGTAAGTACGGCGCGGCGATGAGGGAACCGTTTGAGAATGTGCACTTTGCTGGCACTGAAACTGCGTTTGAGTGGAAAGGGTACCTGGAGGGGGCAGTCACTGCGGGCCAGCGTGCAGCACAGGAGGTTGCTGATGGATTGACGGAAACCAAGGACGCTTGACATGTGATACATTGATGACCAGCGGCCAATTCACCGTCTTAATTGTCGGAGTCGTGGAGCAGGCTGATCCGAGTATATCTACGATTCCCTTCTGTTTGCTAAAGCTATCCGTGGTGACCCCGTCTATCATTTTGCCCATTCTCGACAGTTTGGATCTCAAGACTTCACTTTCCTCTGCGACTTGCGGCGGCTCGGGTTTGCGTGTTAGTGGGCCTCGATCGATGCATGCTCGGCCGATATATAAACGCTAATTGGCCTTCCAGTAGCAATTCTGTGCTCCAGTCAGTCTTCGTAGCATTAGCACGCCTTTCTTCACGTACTGATCATCGAACACTACCGTCTCGTTTGCTGGGTTGTGTAGTAGAGCTGTCAAGCGAATCGCTCTATCTGTTACATAAGGCAACTCTACAATATCACCAGTCTAATGTATTGCTTGTGAGTCCCAGATTGCGTAATCTTATCCGAAAATTGCTGCACAGTGGCTCCCGATATCTTCCGCCTCCTTCCTCAGCCAGTCAGCATGGTTCCATGGAGGGAAAAATGGTAAGGGCTTACATGGCAAGGCCGAATGCTGCTAGCATCTACATAAAGAAAGGAAACTGCATCTTTTCCGAGGCAAAGGCAAACGTAAAGGTTGTAGGACCACCCGACTTTTCATGGTTCTCACTGTCCCTCGCAGTCTAAGCTTCTTAGCTCAAGAGTTCACCCGATTCTAAGCTGCGTAACCCTTGAACTTTCATGAAGAAGCGGGGAGGGATTGTCGTGGATGAATATGCCCTGGCGAAGCGCATTTGTTGCATTGCAGCCAGGTTGCTTATGCAAGAGAAATCTGGTCAGTATTGACAAGCATACTAAGGGGTCGTAGCTTTAGTCTGTAAATTCTTGGTCTCCATGCCGAATAAGTGCCATGTGGATTCACTCGAAGGTCTTTCGCCTACATTCACGTACGTATGGTACCGATTTGAGAGTTTTTTTTTCGGAGATCCGGCAAGATGAAACTCAGCATCATCTTTCGTTTCTTTTCTGACAACCTCATTCGGGACATCTTTCTCCTCAAAATTCGAGTCAGTACTTGACTAGGTCTATCATTTCTCAACTGCCCTCAGGATAGTAACGTGAGTGCTGTCTAGGAAAGATTATCTCGTCAGATTCCATTTTCGGACTGGCACCGAAACGCAAGCTTCAGGCTTTTGCTTTCGTATTTCTCGACGTTGAAGGACGATTGGCGACTGCTAGCCGTTGCATCGGGCTTCGCTCACAGCATCCCGAACCGAACACACCCATCAACTGATACAGTGATGAAACCCAGATTCAGTCCTCTCACCGGGGCCAATACATTCTGGCCTCCACAGAAAAAGCTCAAATGCAAGCACCCTGTGGAAAGTAGGGATGATGGTTAGGTCCAAGGGCACCCGCTCAACCAAATTGAGAGATGTCGTGTTCGTCTCCGCTGGAGGACAAACTGCGCCACAATTGACATGCTCGGTGGCTGTGTGTGGCGCGACGTTGGCTGACTGCCGACAGAAAAGTTTTCCCCGGCTAATCCCTTTATTCGAGATCGGAAAGCAATACCTCCCTTACCAGCATTGCCGCCATTGTATCGTCTCATTCATTGTCGTTCCTTATCAATGTAACTGTAATTATTTGTTAGCCAACGGTGGCTTTCCATTTCCTTCATTTTGACCCGCCCACGCGCGGTTGGTAGCGCCCCGGGTGCACTAGCAACGGCGCAGTGCTGGACCGTCACCCCGGATTCGAGCTCCATTGCATGAATGCACATGACATCTGAGCGGGCCTGACCTATCAACGAGTAAAAGGCCATCAGGGCCATGTCGCTTCGCTACCACGTCGGCGCTGCCACGGGCTCCCAGCTGCTCGATCCCTGGGCTCATGGACTCAGCGTCATGAAAGATGTCTTTGCGAGCTGGTCGAGATTGGACATCACTCAGATCGGGTCTCTCATCGCCATTGCCGGGACACTGCCGACGGCGTGGAGGTTTGTCCACAGGTTATGGTCCGAGGCAGCCGCCTGCGTCCGGCGCTTCTTCCTGGCATCCGTCACGATCCCCGGCGGTGACCCCCTCAACGCCAGCGTCGTCAAATGGGTCCTCGAGAACCGTCCTCGGCACCACCGGTCTTTCACGGGACGCACCGAGGTCGGACATGTCCACAGCGAAAGGGGCGCGGCTCTGAAAAAGTCGCAACAGTCCATCCAGTACTCGCCTCATTGGAACTCTCGCTGGATATGGTATGACGGAACCCTCATCATGGTCTCGCGCCGGATCGACGACTTCAACGCCTCCCTCTCCGACCCGAGGAACGACGGCATGGGCGGCGAGGAACTCACGCTGCGCTGTTTGGGCTGGTCCGCAGAGCCCCTCAAAGCTTTCGTTGAAGGATGCCGCGCGTATTCCGAAAAGCAGACGCAGTTCTTCGTCATCATCTACTCTCGCGACCGTTACGGCCTGGCCTGGCAGCCCAAGGCCAGAAGACCGATCCGGCACCTGGAGACGGTGCACTTCGACACAAATCTCAAGCAGGACCTGTTGGCCGACATACGGAACTACCTCGACCCCAAGACGAAGAGGCGGTACCAGAGCCGCAGCATGCCGTATCGGAGGGGCTATCTCTTTTACGGACCGCCGGGGACCGGCAAGTCCTCCCTGTCGGTGGCCCTCGCCGGCGAGTTTGGCCTCGATCTCTACGAGGTCAAGATCCCTAGCGTTGCGACAGATGCGGATCTCGAGCAAATGTTTCAGGAGGTACCACCACGGTGCGTCGTTTTGCTGGAGGACATCGATGCCGTCTGGGTCGACCGCTCGAACCCGCGCCCCAGCAGCCAGGACGGCAACATGACGCCCAACTGCACCCTGTCCGGTCTCCTGAACGTCCTGGACGGCGTCGGCTCGCAGGAGGGCCGCATCGTCATCATGACGACCAACAGGCCCGAGCAGCTCGACAGCGCGCTCGTGCGGCCGGGGCGCGTGGACATGAAGGTGCTGCTCGGCAACATCAGCCAAAGGTCGGCCGAGGAGATGTTTGTCCGCATGTTCTCGCCTGAGCTGGGCTGCACGACACCCCTGGAGATGGACGAGGTCAAGGGACTCGCCGCACGTTTCGCTGCTGAGGTGCCGGACGACGTGTTGACGCCTTCTCAGCTGCAGGGCTTTTTCCAGCTTCACCTGGAGAGCCCGCATGACGCTGCGAGCAGTATCAAGTCGTGGGTCGAGACGGAGCTCGAGAGAACGCCGGAGACGAGTTTTGAATTCGTCAGCGGCCGCAAGAGCCCTCCGAACACACTGAGGGCGAAGCAGATTGGATAGATTGTACAACACTTGTGTAGACGGTTTTGTGTTTTGCATGATAGACGGAATTTCGGGCGGCTCTGTAGTTGCTTGGGGTTTCTTGTGTACTGGAGATGGGACTTTTGGCACCTAATCAGCGTATCTTCTTGCACCATTCATCTGTGTATGCTCGATCGATGTGTGGGCTGCCGAGTCTGCCATGACGGAAACATTGTAGCACAGCTTTTGGTGATCTCCACGGTAAGGGTCCCTACCGGCCGGCGGCCTCAAGCCTTGACTAGCGATCTAGTGGACGTTGGAACCAACCAACACCATCGCCTGAAACAGAGATCAAGGTTGATGCTCACAAAAGAAGGTTTGCCCACTACGCACGATGACGAGCTACGGGGAGCTATGCGTGACGCGAGTCGATAGCGTATCATCAAACCAATCTTCCAGAAAAATGGAAAAGCCCGATTGCCCTGATAGCGGGTGTGACGAAGGGGGTGGGCTCGAGTCAAACACGCCAGGCTAAGACTTCGCCATGTCCCCCCCTAAAGACCTACATACCTAAGGAGCCCCGTAGAACCTGTGGCGGGCCGAGTTATAGTGGGGTCTAGCACCCGCGTGCGGGGAAGGTTGGAGGCGGGTCGCACCTGGGGTCGCTACCCCCATCGTGCCTTCCCCCCCTGCCTGTCTGCTCATTGCTTGAGGTCATTAACATAATACCTGCTCCAAGGACACCCGCTCCTTGGACTTCTTCTCGTTTCCTCTCGTCTGTTTCCCGGCATGATCCTTCTGATGCCGAAGACGTCTCGATACGAAGACGTCTTGATCTGAAGACGCCATGACGAAACGCTCTTGGGCCGAGACCGAGAGTACAGAGTGGCAACCACAATCGCAGGGTCCAACCCAGCATCAGCGCTTCTCCTCTTCAGGCTCTCCACAGTTGCTGGCCCAAGGTGTAACATCTGCGACTCACTGCCAACCACCATCCAAAGCAAACCCGCAGCGCAACAGCCCGGCGACAAGTCCGACCACCCAGATGACACTTGGTCTGAACAATGGCGCTGGTGTCTCTGACCATTCGATCCCTCAAATCTCGCGCAAGATCAAGGCGTGCGGCGCATGTCGAAGACACAAGGTAAAAGAAAGGATATCCCGGCTGTTTACTGTAGGAACGCAACTGACACGGCCCAAGATCAAATGCTTGATGGACGACAGCGGACCACCGTGCCGCCGCTGCGCAGAGAGAAACCTCGGATGTGTCCTCGGCAAGAACCTGCAGAGCATCATTGACGAAAAGTCGCAGTACACCGACGCTGTGCTCCACGACCTGGATGCCCTCCATGCTACTCTGCGCGACGTCACGCAGAAGCTTGGCCTTTCGGAGCCGCAGCCTCTCGAAACGAGCGGGATGCGTGATGCCGGAAGTTCGCCGGGCGCCACGGAGCGTCAACCCCGAGCTGTGAACGGCACCACTACCACCACCACCACCAACAACAACGACAACAACGGCAGCACGAACAACAACCGCCTCGCTCCATCCGACAATCATGTCGGTCCGTCGTGTGACAACTCACCCAAGATCTCGCCTGAAGACGAGTCGCACCTCCCCAATGTGCCGATCCACTCCCTGTACGCCCTCACAAAGCTGCGGGCTTTGCGACCTGATAGCCCGGACGAGCACCGAAGCCGAATTGCCGACGACTTTATTGCCCGAGGTGCCATATCTCTGAGCGCAGCAGAACGTCTTTTCTGTCTGTATCGAGATGAATTGGACTTTTACATGTATCGTGTGGGATGTCGCTATCAGACTCTCGATGAGCTACGCCGAAAGAGCTCTGTTCTGACAGCCGCGACCTTGACAGTCGCAGCGCTCCACGAACCTGCGGCGGAGGCACTGTACGGAGTGTGCAGCGCAGAGTTCCGTCGCCTCATGGAGAAATCCATGTTCGATCGAAGAGTAGACCGGGATTACATCCGTGCCATGGCCATTGCCGCCTACTGGCTCAGCGACATGTCGTGGATGATCTCGGGTTATGCTATTAGACGAGCGTCCGAGTGCAACCTTCACAACTGTCACAGCCAGGCTATCGAGAAGCAAAGCCAAGAGGCCGCTGATGGTGCGAGGCTCTGGTATATTCTCAACATCTGCGACCAGCACCTTGCCACTCTGTACGGTCGACCAGCGATTGTGCACGAAGACTCCTCAATGCAGGGCTGGGAGAGCTTCTTAGAATCCCCCGTCTCCAATGCCGAAGACAAGCGCCTCGCGAGCCAAGTTGCGTTACTAGGGATTCTCGGAAGCATACGGGAGCTTTTCGGGCCTGACAAAGGCCAACCTATACCAAGGGCATATCTCCATCAGATAGCCCACTTCAACAAGCAGCTGGACCACTGGATAGGCCATTGGTCAGGTGTCTTACGCGGTACGTATCAGCCTGTTCATCAGAAGACCATGAAGTCGCTAACACCGCAGACCAATATTCAGGCGTCGGGCGGTTTCCTAGCAAGGGTGCTCTTTTGCATTTCCACTTTGCCAAGTTGCATTTGTACTCTCACATCTTCCGTGGCTCCTCGGGCGAAATCACCATTCCACATTATTTCCTGGATGGCACTGCGACAGCCATTGCTGCCGCCACGTCCACGATCGAATTCATCCTCACCGACCCCGACGTATCAGCCAGCGTGGTGGGCATACCTTCTTACCTCCACTGCATGACGGCTTTTGCTTGCATGTTCTTGATCAAGGTGTCTGTCAAACACGGCGGCGATCTGATCGAGCCCCAGCGCGTCTGGGACCTGACAACACGACTCGTTCGCCACTTTCGTTCACTACCGACAGGGCGCTGGCACCTGGCGAACCTCATGGCGCCGGGACTCGAGAAGATGGCTGCTACGCTGAAGCCACATGTTCAAGGGCAGACGATGATGCAGAATGGCATGGCTGGCTGCGAAATGACCAGTGGGGTGTTGGAAGCGCGCGGTCAGCCCATGATGTCAGTCGCCGACCCTGCATTGATGGGCATGGAAGGTGACATTTTGTTTGATTTCGATATGAGTTTTGGACTATCGCCAGTGTTCCGTTTTGATCGTTTTGATCCGACCACAATGGGGATTGAGGGCTTGCAGGAGTTTGCGAACGTGGAGTATTCCACACAGCCTCAAGCCTGACATGTATATAGGGCAAGAGGAAACGCGTCTATGAATATGATATTCGGGGACAATGTTGAAGGCACGGATATGATTCAGACAGTGTTTTATTCAGCGCGTGTCCGCATGTGTCACATCTTGCCTCACGCTTTACATGCCCTGGATCGCCCTCGGTCGGTACTCGCCTTCCAGGTACTCAACCTCTTCGTCAGTCAACTTCATCTTCAAAGCCTCGCAAGCCTCCGTCACCCTTTTTACAGAACTCAGACCCAGAATCGGCCAACAGCCTTGCCTCAGCACCCACGCCGTCGCCACAACCGCCATGCTAACGCCCCTCTTTTTCGCAACCTCCTCCACCCTCCCGACAATGTCCAGGTTGGCATCCGCGAACCACAGATCCTTCTTCTTGTCCATCTTGCTCCGCACCGACTCCTCGCCCAGCGGCTTCGCTAGCAGACCCCTAGCGATGGGACTCCACGGGATGACGCCGACGCCGCTCGCCCGGCAAAAGGGCAGCATCTCGCGTTCCTCCTCGCGATAGAGGAGGTTGTAGAAGGGCTGCATCGAGATGAACTCTGTCCAGCCGTGTGCGCGCGCGACGTACTGCAGCCGGGCAAACTCCCAGGTATACATGGACGAGGCGCCTAGGTAGCGGACCTTGCCGGACTGGACCACGTCGTTCAGGGCGCGCATGATTTCTTCGGGGGGCGTCTCGCGGTCCAGGCGGTGAATTTGGAGGACGTCTGGCTGTGTTGGTCTTTTGCTCTCCACCTCTCGCGCGGCTCAGCAAGGAGGGCAAGGGAACGCACCAATGTAGTCTGTGCCCAGCCGCTCGAGGCACCTGTCGACGGCGTGGAAGATGTGTTTGCGACTGAGACCCATGAGGTTGACCATTGGCCCGTCGTTGACGCTCGGCGGTCTTGAATCGTCGTCCATGACGGGGTTGAAGATTTTGGACAGTATGACGACCTTTTGCCGCGGAATGTTGAACTTCTTGAGCGCCTTGCCGATGATCACCTCCGACTGGCCGTTGGAGTACGTGTCCGCCGTGTCCCAGGTGTTGATGCCCGCGTCGTAGGCGGCCTTGAGGAGCTCGAGGCCGTCTTCCTCGCCCAGGGTCCAGGGGGAGGATTCCCATGTCGGGGAACCGAAGGTCATGCAGCCGAGGATGATCTTGGAGACTTTGAGGCCGCTCGTGCCGAGTCTGTCTATTTGGTCAGACGGGCAAGAGCAGAGATGGCGGCTTCACTTACCTGACGTATTCCATATGGGCGGACATGGCGTGTCGATGCGATTGGGCTGGGTATACTGGGTGCAGCAGTACTTGCGATATCCTCCCTCTCCTGTCGTGATTTTGCTTGGGGGTCTTCTTATCCCCAATGAAGGACCCCCACTTCCATTCACTGCTAGAAGTGACGACGACAAGGGGCTCAGTCTTCCATTGGGAGCAGATCTGCAATCATCCGCCGAATGCTGTCTATCGGCTTTGTCTCCGAAGTCCGTGTTTGGAGGTCGGCATTGTGGCCGATGTACTCCAACTGGGATGTCGCGACATGATGGAGGGGTTAGCTTTGGAGAAGTGCGGGGATCTTGACGGCACCAGCTACCGTTGAAGTTTGGCAGAGGGAAGAGGGGTCCATGGCCGATATTCGCGATGGCTTGTTTCACGGACGCACTTCCTGAGAGGTTCATCACAGCTCAAGCCGCTTGAATTTCTTCTGAATTTTCATTACCGTCACCATAATCACGAACTGCCATCTCTCCAGATCTCCCCGTACATACAAACATCCGCATCATGGCCGACATCCTCATCACCGGCGCCGCCGGCTTCATTGGCCAGGACCTTGTATCTGCCCTCTTGGCCGCAGACCCCTCTACACGCCTCACCCTCACAGACGTAGTCGAGCCTCCCGTTCCCGCCAGCGCAGCGTCCCACGGCGATCGCATAACCTCTCTCAAGGCCGACCTCACATCTCCCGCCGCCGTAACCTCCCTTCTCTCCCGCCCCTTCACCGCAGTCTATCTCCTCCACGGCCTCATGTCCGGCGGCGCCGAAGCAAACCTCGACCTCGGCCTGAAAGTCAATGTCGACTCCGTTCGCACCGTCCTCGACCACCTCCGCACCGAGTACCCCGGCACAGTCGTCATCTTCACCAGTTCCTGCGCCGTCTACGGTCCCGCGAATCCCGTTCGTGAATCCGAAACGCTGCCGCAGCCTCGCAGCTCGTATGGAGCCGAAAAGCTCATCATCGAGCTGCTGCTTAACGACTACTCGCGACGCGGGCTGCTGGACGGACGCATCGTCAGACTGCCGACCGTCATAGTGAGGCCCGGGGCCCCCTCTGCCGCGGCATCGAGCTTTGCTTCGGGCATCGTGCGGGAGTCGCTGAACGGGGAGAGGAACGTGTTGCCCGTTGCGCGGGATCTGGAGCTGTGGGTGTGCAGTCCCAAGACGGTGGTCAAGAATCTGGTCAAGGTCAAGGACGTACCGAAGGAGGCGTTTGGAGAGTCAAGGGTTGTCAATCTTCCGGGCATTACCGTGACGGTGAATCAGATTCTGGACGCACTGGAGTCGGTGGGCGGCAAGGAGGCTGCGAGTCTGGTGGAGGAGAAGAGGGACCCTGTCATTGAGAAGATCGTCAACACGTGGCCCTCGAGGTTCGATGTGAGTCGAGCTTATGGTCTGGGCTTGGAGGCTGATGGGGATGTGCTCGATGCTGTCAAGGCGTTTGCTGCGACGTTGGAGGCCTAGAGTCTATGTGCTAGGCTGTGTGAAACCACAGTGATGCGATGAATCGGGAAGACTTTGCCAAGAAGATTTATGTGTGAGAATCGCTTGAACTTTTGACAAATGATTCATGTTAGAGTGTTCACTTTACAGCTGTAGGGCAGCGTATCAAGTGCCTTGCCGTCGGTAAGACACATTATTGCTGGAAATAGGGTTAAGTGTCTCCGGACACCTCGGTCAAGGAGCCTGGTGGTGGCGGACTTCCCCGAACTTACGTCGTGAGGAATACTTTAGATGGATGTCATGGGATCTTGAATTTATTGAACTCTATATCTTTGCTATCACTGCTCTTCTGTGCTTTCGTCCGGGCTCCCTCTGCTCTACGGATGCCACGAGATAATCAATGTCACGCGTATTGACCAAAGCCGGGGTTGCTTCATCCAGACTTGTGATACCACATAGTCTCATTGATGTTTCTAGTTCATCTTTGAGTACTTGAAAGGGTCAGCAAGTAACTCGAGATTTCAGTCGCACGTCACACTTACTTTGAACTAGATGTTCTACGCCTTCTTGGCCATATACCAACGAATACAGCGTGGGCCGGCCGATGCCGACCGCCGTAGCTCCCAGCGCGACAGCCTTTAGTATGTCTGATCCTCGCTCGAAACCGCCATCAACGTAAACCTCAAGCTTTTCAAAAACCTCTGGGCAGTGTTTTCGTAGCTCCATCAAGACCAGGATGCTTGCTTGAGATCTGTGCATGATTCGTTAGCTCTGAGCCAGGCGTCAAGTGGCGACAACGTACCCATCGAGAGATCGGCCACCGTGGTTGCTCAGCAGAATTGCATCTACGCCATAATCTACTGCCATCTTGGCATCGTCTGCGGTCTGGACACCCTTAAGGACAATTGGCACACCACTCGCCTCTCGTATCCATGACAGATCATCCCATGTCAGGGACTTGTCGATGTACTGCGCCATCAGACGCCCCAATCCACTTCCCTTCTTGTCTTTGCTGCTCTCGCCGCCACTGATGGCGGATCGTACCGTCACAGCCTGCGCGGCCCGTTCGTCTGCTTCACGTTTGCCTGGAACTGGTGCGTCGACCGTCACAAATATGGCCTTGATACCTAGGGAGCGTGCCGATTTGAGGATGTCAATCGTTTTCTGTCGTTCGGAGTTGATATACAGCTGAAAGAAGAATGGTTGTGTCGCTGGTGCGGCTGTCATGATGGAGCGCAGTGTATAAGAAGCGTTGCTTGAGATCTAGGGATGCGAGACATGACTTAGCATTGATCATCCAAATTTCAGGACAAGGAGACGTACACATTGGATAATACCTTCGTTGGCAGATGCACGGCTCAGAGCCAACTCGCCGTCAGGATGAACCAGACGTGCCATCGCAGCAGGGGCGATGAAGAACGGGGCTGTACTCTTGAAACCGAGAATGCTGGTTTTCATGTTGACGCTGGTGACATTTCGAAGTATTCTTGGACGTATCATGATCCTTCGAACAAGTTCCTTGTTCTTGCTGTGCGTAATGAGATCTGTAGCTGCGGAAGAGTAAAAAGCCCACGTCTTCGGTGTCAGTGCCTTAGATGCCACAACCTCAAAGTCAGGTGCGCTGAGCACAGATTCAAGAGGAGGAACTTCGTTTGTTGGTGATGCTGTTGGGGCCATCGTCGTATTACGCTTGGCACCAAACTGAACAGCGCTGGTGGAGACATCGGGACTGGGCTCCTCAAGGAAACCCTTGAATTTCCCCTTTGGCAGCTCCTCGATGATATCGGGTGCGTGTACTTGGTCGAAGGGTTTTGTTGCATCAGACCCAGCACACCGGAGAAGGACTGCTATTGTTAACACGGTCAAGGCTGACAGGACGACTGTTCTTACCCAACGGCCCTCCCGGATGCTCGCCAATAAAGTCCGTGATATCCCATACCTTGTTGTGGACTGCGATCCAACAGTCGCTTGAGGTATTGTGCTTATTGAGACTGTCGAGTTTGATGATTGGCTTTTCGCTTGAAACGCCTTGTGGTGTCATACTCGAAGCCACGATATTCGGCTAAGACAAGCACTCGTTGCAGCTAAAAAATCGGACGTGCGGAGGTGTGGAAGCATCGATTTGCTCCCGGATGTTTTGGCCAGTTTATCATGAGACAAATAGACGAACGAAGACAAGACTCCATAATCGAAATGCTACAGGCTGGATTTCGATGTCTTCAATCGCCTTTGTCAGTCTTCAATTGTCTGATTGTTGGGGTGTCCGGAACCCCGGGGATGGCCCCGAACACGCAAGCTTGTTCTCCACAGAGGTGGAATCCTCAATATCGGCATTGTCGCCGATGTCAAGGACCAGCCCATCATCTTACCCACAGACCGACGGCTTCCCTTGTGATCCTTTTGCATCGGACAGTCAATCACTCCACAGCTTGGCTGATCTCAGAGATCTTGGTATGGAGAAACCATGCCGTTCTGCCAACTCCTGTGACCTGTGTTAGCCACGCCTCTACAACACACAACTCAGCCCTACAAAGTATCGTTAATCTGCGCGTCGAAAGAAGCGTTTCAACAACAACGCTTTGTCACCCCATTGCTCCTTTGCGACCCCAACACACACAATGCCTTCCAGCAATATTGCTTCCAAATCCAACCCACTTCCGCCGGGAGTCTACACGCCTGTCGTTACTATCTACAAGGCAAACGATCCATCGCAACAAGTAGATCATGATGCCATGTATGTGCAGTGCCAGGGCCTCATCGGTGCTGGAATGCACGGCCTAGTCTACCTCGGCACTAACGGCGAGCTTGCCCTCTTGACACCTGAGGAACGCAAAGCCATTATTCAAACTGCAGCGAGAGCAATTGCCGACCTCAAAAAGCCCAATTACCCTCTAGTCGCAGGCATCTCCGCCCAGTCAACCTTCGAAACGATCCTCAACGCAAAAGACGCAGCGGGTGCCGGCGCCAACTTCGCGCTGCTGTTACCTCCGAGCTACTGGGCCAAGGCCCTGTCAAGCAACGCGCTGCTTGCCTACTATCGCGCCGTAGCGGACGCGTCGCCGATTCCGATCATTGTCTACAATTTTCCCGGTGTCACTGCTGGTATTGATCTCGATTCGGACCAGATCGCGGCCCTGGCGTCTCATCCCAACATTTCGGCAGTCAAGCTCACGTGCGGAAACGTCGGGAAGCTGACACGCCTCACAAGCAAGTTCAAGCACGATCAGTTTGGTGTCTTTGGTGGCAGCAGCGACTACCTACTGCCAACGCTCCATGCGGGCGGCAGTGGATGTGTCACGGGCATGGGCAATATTTTTCCGGGCTGCACATCAGCGGTGTATGACTTGTTCCAGTCAGGCAGGGTGGATGAGGCAAGAAAGCTCCAGGATGACGTGGCTAATGCGGAATGGGCATGCAAGAAGGGCATTGCTTGCACCAAGTATGGAGCCTGGTACTACTTTGGTAGAGGCCGAGGTTTAGACAGCGAGGCCTCCTGGAACATGAGAAAGCCATACGAGCCTCTGAGTGACGCCATGAAAAAATGGACTTTGGAGACTTTAGGGGTGCTAGAGAAGGCAGAGAAGGAGAGGCCTTGGGACAGGTAGATTGCAGAGTGAATTCATCAGGAGTATCATTTTGCGGTAGTGCTGCGGATTCTTATACCTGGGGAGGGCTTGGACAAAAAGCGATTCAGCCAAAGACCCCGTCACTTTTGAGCGCAAACTCTACATGTAGATGATTGACAACCCAGTCATGTACCTCAATAGTATTCCTGGACAGGTTTCCTTCCAGTATAGAAGCCGCAAGACCACGCTACAAGCCGTGCGATAGTGAGAATGAGCTCAGAGGAAAGGTGTAACTGCTTAATTTAGAGCAGTGAAGACGCCTTCTACACGCCTTCTACATGTGGTCCGCAGCTATTAAATATAGGTAGGGGGCGAAACAAATCTGAATTTCGGCCCTGAGCAGTCTTTATTTAAACGTTCTCGTAGTCCTCAACCCCTATTCAGCCCCCCCCTGTTCGGTGGCTCCGCAGGGCCACCTGGCGTGTAGCGACCAGCTGTGCGCTTCCTCGGACTCAAGCATCGTCCACCCAATGCTCAATATTTTCAATCCGAACATACTTGATATGTTGGCGATGAAAAGTGAAAGCAATATGAACGGGCGCATGTGAGACATCTTGCTCGGTCCAGATACTTGGATAGCTCAGCTCCCTGTTTGCTTTCTTCTCCGAGTTGTTTGTCATGCAGAATCCATCGCCATCCTCCAGAACCCGTGTTTTCCATGTGATCCCCTGGTCTGACGAGATGCCAACTGTCAAGGCCTTGCGAGGGGTACCCCAAATGGCGGATCTGCCATTCACGGATACTTGATTGGGCCGTTTGTCGCCTTCAGGGGTAATATCATCGTACAAACCTTCCCGTCTAGTCATATTAGGTACAGCAGCGGACTTGTTGAAGACGATTGCAATGCTTCCCGATGGAAGACGGGCAGCGCAAATTCCGCTGTTGGGATTTGGCAGACTGATGGGTTCGGGAGATGCCCAGTCAATGCCATCTGTGGACGTGGACCGGTACACCTTGTCCGCCCATCGACTCCGGAAGAAGGCGACATATTGATCTTGTCCCCTAAAAGGCGGCACAATATTCATATGAACCGCGCCGATGCCCCCAGGGACTCTCTTTTCCTCCCAGGTCACGCCATCGTCGCGTGAGAAAAGTACAGCGGAGATGTCGTCGTTTCCTATCCATCTCTGTCCTGCAGCGGACCGGCAGAGGAAGACAGGTAGAACCCATGTTCCATCTTTGAGAACAACGAGTGGTTGGCGGACGAAAACCCCCTTCAAGTCTTTAAACGGATAACTAGGCTCTGACCAAGTGACGCCATGGTCACTGGATGTCCGAACCATGACTAATGCACCGTCCTGGTTGCCTGCATCCTGTGAAGTGTGGAAGAGCCATATGTGACCAGTCCTGGGTGCTCTAAAAAGCACAGGGTTCTGACAACTGCGGCCCGTGTCCGATGAGATCTTTTGCGGTGGAGACCATTCGTTTGACCCTGGGGTCTGACGCGATAGCCAGATACTGATGTCAGGTAATCCTTCCTGGGAGCCTCCGAACCAGGCACAGAGCAGAGTCTTGTTGGGTAATTGAAGAAGGTTGGAGGCATGGGATTGAATAGTAGTCGCCGGTAGCGAGTCGAAGTGAACGATAGAGGACGCCATTAAGTTGGTGGCCGCCGTGGTGATCTGATCCACAGCTGGTTTATTTCGATTCGAGGCGTGCTGGATTTTTGTGATCCGTAATGATTAGGCATCGTTTCTTAATATTCCCAATGTGCTGCAGTCCGTAGACATGCATACTCCGCACCAAGTCCGGGAATGACGACTGACAATACTAGCATTTGACACATGCCAGTCGCTGAGACGCTACGATTCATGCCTCAAGCTAAGATGCTGTTCCAGTGACATTGCTAGATGCAACTCCACACTTAGAGTGACATGGCTGCATGTTACAGTTGATTTTGTCATCACTGTTTTTCATTGGAAGACTGGGCAATCTCGGACACAAAGCCGGATCTTCGTGCACTCTCGGCATTGTGACCGATGCGGCAGACGGCACCCAGAGTTCGAGCCGTCTGCTTTGAAGCGCCTCATGTTCCTTGGCCTGCCAGTGGAATATGCGGGGAAGCTTCCCACGGGGTATCCAACTTAGTCATTAACTGGCGTTGACGGACGTTGGGATATATGACTGTTCTACTTCAGCATTGCTCAAAAGAGCCTTGATTACTATGGTCTCGGTTCTAGTCACTAAAATCATTTCTACATAGTCTCATATCTTTTTATCAACGAACGACTTCTACCGGATACCCACTGTATCTTTCCCAGCCATGGGTGGTGGCACTTCACTATGGGCGTCTCCAGAATGGAAGAATGACCCTAAAGAGATCTTTAACCGGAAACTCCTTCTTCTTGGAGTTACAATTGCCATGGCGGGTTGCTCTTATGGGTTCGATCAAGGAAATATCGGTGGTGTCATGACATTTGTCTCGTTCCGAAAGGCCATGGGATTCGACGACCTGCAGCCATCAGAAGTCGACCAACGAGGTAAGTCTGTAACAAAAACGACGAAGTATCAAGCCTGACCTTATACAACGCAGAGGGGAACATCGCAGCAATGTGTAAGTGCTTCTAGAAAGTATGTTCGCATTTTCTGACACGTAGTCGAAAGTGGCCGCAGGTGGCTCAGCCGGTGCATTGCTCGCAGCACCATGTGCCGATTTCCTTGGAAGGAAGAGGTCCGTGACAATCATGTCCGGTTTGTTCTTGATCGGGTGTGCCATGCAAGAAGTTCCTCGTTTGAACGTGCTGTACGCTGGAAGACTCCTAGCTGGCATCGCGATCGGTGCGACCTCGATGGTGAGGGTTCTCATGCTCCGCCAGATCTACTGTTTAGCTAATCAGGGAAATCTGCAGTTAGCGCCTCAGTATCTCGCAGAAAACTCCCCAAAGACTATCCGAGGTTCTCTTACAACATCCTACAACCTCATGATTGTCCTGGCGCTCTGTCTGGCCTTTTGGGTCAACTACGCCGTGAGCTTGTGGCCTAAGCAAGACCCCAACGATAACACTTCTTGGCAACTGGCTTTGGGCATTCAATTGATACCGGGTTTTTTTCTCTTCTGCCTTATCTGGTGTAAGACTTTGTCATGCTGTTTTGTCGATGGGTCCAGCTGACGATATACTAGTTGTGATCGAAACTCCCCGTGCTCTCATTTCGAAAGGAAAGAAAGATCGCGGTCTTAAAAACCTTTGCAAGCTCCGAGGCCTGCCCGCGGATCACCCTTATGTTCACCAAGAGTATATGGAGATCAATGCCCAGGCCGAATATGAACAACGCCAGTATAAGGGTAAGCTGCATTGGCAGATGCAAATCAAATATGCGAGCAGACAGGAGACGCTAACAAACCTAGGCTACAACTACATTGCCGTTTTCAAAGATATTGGCACGAATGCCAGCAATCGGCGTCGTTTCTTCCTCGCCGTCATGCTGTTTATTTTCCACAAAGGCACAGGAACAGATTCACTGAATTACTTTGCACCTGAGATCTTTGCCATGATCGGTGTGCCTCGTGGCTCCAGCTCTCTGTTGACTGTTGGCATCTACGGTCTTGTCAAATTGGTTGCGACAGTTATTTACGTCACTCTCATCGTTGACCGCGTTGGACGGCGCCTTCCACTAATGATCGGGGCAACAATTCAAGCCTGCGCCATGCTTTACATTGGACTTTTCATTCGCTTTGCCAATCCCGAGGCAGGTGGTGGCACCTCAGCTGGTGGCTACGTTGGAATCATCTGGTTAGTGATGACTGCGTCCTGCACACTTGATAGAGAGATGAGTGCTGATAAGTAACAGGATTTATCTTTACGCTGTCGGATGGTCTTTCGGTCACTGCGTAGCTCCGTACGTTGTTGCTGCCGAAATCTTTCCGGCTCGTATCCGATCAGTCTGCATGTCGTTCTGTCTGTTCACCAACTGGATTGTGAACTATGGCATCACTTCTGCAACGCCCCACATGATGCGTACCATGGGCTACGGAACCTTTCTCTTCTTCTCTATCATCACATTCATTGGTGTCGGTTTTATTTACTTCTGTTTGCCCGAGCTGAAGGGCAGGAGCATGGAGTCTATGGACGACCTCTTCTCGCATTCGCTGTGGTCGATGTTCCGGCGGGCGTATCCTACGAGCGATGAACTGGTACGCCACGATGTTCAGGAACAGCTCGCTCGAGAGGACAAGAATGATGGCACGCATGTCTCGATGGTTGAAGAACGGGAGGCGGAGAAGCGGGTGTAGATTCATGAGTGCCGCAGTCCCATGGTTATCAGGCATCTCAGATTGGCGCATTTGTTGTTGAATGTGTTAAGAGGGCATAAAGATATCGCAGGTGCCCCTGGTAGCGGAGATATTGAATACGACTGCCTCTCGAGAAGGAGCAATCAAGAACGGTGCTGAGCGGATGAACAGTCGCAGAAGCTGCAGAGCCCGACTATTTATTTGGTGCGAAACGAGGTTTTTTATAATCATCTGTATAATGAACCGGTCTGGCGTGAAACTCGAGGTCGTATCGACAAGCTGTAGTAGTGAAACCAAGGCTGAGCTCGAGTGAATCTTGAACAATCAGAGAATATGGCGCAGGTGACGTTCTCAGCACTGTTAATTTTGCCATACTGCCGAAGTCAAGTCATGTTATGAAAGAATCTTGCCCTAATGGCATCGGGCTGCTAGCCATCTAACGTCGCAAATCTAGTCCCACCCAAGCAAGCCCATGACAGGGAGAGTTTTATCAGCAGCCTCGATCTTACTTCTCATAGCTTTCAGCTCATCAACATCCCAATTGACACATACAAACTTCCCATTCAAGAACTTTGCTTCATCGCTCGTAGCCCACACAACAAAATCGGCAGGCAGGCTGACATCATCAAACGCTAGCCCTAGGTCAACGGCTTTGTGCCCAAACTTGGCAGCCATGGCCGTGCCACCAATGAGACCAGGATGAATCTGCAGCACGAAGAGGTTCGGGTTCTCGTGATGGAAGTACTCAAACAACTTGGTGCCCCCTATCTTCGAAGCGCGATAGGCCGAAAATGTTTCCATATACGGCAAGTAGACCGCTGCCGTCGAGATGTGGATAACACCCGCGCCAGGAGCAGCAACAGGGAGAAAGGCGCGAAGAAGGTTAAAGTTGCCCTTGATTGCTACTTCAAAGGCACGCCACCAGTCGGTGGGCGCGGCTTCGGCAATGGTCGTCAGGTCAGGCATGTAGCCGGCGTTGGCGATGAGGATATCGATTTTGCCTTCGATAGCCTCGGTGTAGGCTTTGAGGGCAGCGTCAACTGCAGAGGCGTCCGCGACGTCGACAACGTAGATGTGAATCTTGGTGTCTGTTTTCAGAGCCTCGATGCTGGCTTTAGTAATCTCAAGGGTCTTAAGAGTGCGGCCAAGGAGGGCCAGATTCGCGACATTGGATTGGGCGAGAGACTTGGCTATGGCGCTGCCGATTCCAGGACTGGCAGCCCCAGTTATCAAAGCATTCTTCTCGGAGGTGGAGAGCTCAGGGCGAAGAGGAGAAATGGCTTCATAGGTCTTGGTGCGGTATATTTTGGTGGGATTAGGAGAAGCCATGGTACTGGATTGCAGGTAATGTAGTGAAGACGTACTTGGATGACGGCGTCAAGGTTAGATGATGGCAAAGCGAGTACCCAAGCTCTATTATTCATCACTGCCTTTGAGTGAGATTTTCCCTTCTTTTATACGCCGGTGCATGGCAGCAATCTGTTACTCGAAAACCTGGGATTGCGCCATCTCTGATGATGAACCGTGTGACATGACCAATGTTCGCCCGCATCAGAAGCAGCTGCCATTTCCAATCACTGAGCTCCTGCATAGCAAGCAATGAATATGCTCTATACCAAAGTTCCTCCGGTCATACGGGTGAGATGGATCAGACCGTAAGACTCCGGTGTGGTCGCCTGGTTGGCAACGTTATGATAACGCTTCACGGTGTCATATTTGCTCCATGTCGATTATTAATGGCAAGTGGATACTATAGTCTGACGTGCGCTGCCACCAACCTAAAATCTGATGGCGGCCAACGTTAGCCCAGCTCAAACCTGAGTAACGTTATCAACGTTTGGACTCCAGCCCTACGATCAATCAAACAGGATGGCGAGCCGGGACAACAAAGCTGCCGACGTAAGTGCATTGCCAAGTCAACCCATCTGGTTCGGATGATCATCAGCAACGGTGATAACGAAGGTAACAGGCAGCAAGTCGCCGTGAAAGGGGAGTGATCGCCCAGCGAGAGTACCGGAAGCGACACGCAAATAAGGTTCAGATTCTGCAAGACGAGAACACAGCTTTGAGGAAAGCCATCGAAGATATTGACATTGCTCTCAGGAGTCGGGGGCTACTTGTCGGCGACCTCAGTAAAGTCCTCAATCGTGCTCGTCAAGCGGCTGGATTACCCGAGCTGCAGTCGAACTCGGAGCCCGTGATCTCGCTCGAAGCAGGGCTCTCGAACAGTGCCCAAGCTCGGCAGCAGACCCCTGAACCAAACCCCCACGACACGCCCATTCAGGCCGTGTCCTCGGTCCCGCAAGGCCTGTCTCACGCTGTAGGACAGCACCAGGGCCACTGGTCAGTCCTATCGCTGGGTAGCGGCCGTATGAGTCCACGTCTCGATTATGGCCTCTGGAATGACACTGATCGGCTCGTTCGTCTCTTTGACCCGCCAGAAGACATACTACCTTACATTGGCGACAAAGCAAAGACCATTACTGGTGCCATCTTCTGGAGCTGCATCACGAGAACGGTTGCTCTCTGGAAAGAACACAACCAGGCACGCGCGATCAGTGATGCCTCAGACAATGCTTCCACCACCACGTCGCCCGCCACCGCGTCGCTCCGGCACATTTTCTCACTCCAGTCCGTGATGAAGGATGAGACATTTCTGATGTCTCTCGCTCAGTCTCGCCTGGACTACAAACGAAAAGGATATACCTTTGTTCGCCTCCAGGAGCAATCCCGCGAAAATTCTTCTTCTGAGCTCGCCGACATGCGCCGTCAAGCCACGGACGCTGCTGCGTCCCAAGGAAAGCCGCCTTCCATGTGGAAATCGCTCGAGGATGTCGAAGTCATGCTGAAGAGTCACATGACTGAAGATGAAGTTGACCGCATGAGCGCTGTCGCGCAGGGTAACGGCACAGATGAGGACGCCTACTTGTTCAGCATCATTGTCATTTCCCTGGCGAACCATTTCATTTGTTTCGGCGACGGCCCGCGCTGGGACGCAGTCTATGTCTCCCTCGCCGTCGGTGGTTGGCTCAAAGTCCTCCAAGATCCAGCAGAGCCCAAGTCATGGGACAAGATCCCGTCAAGTCAGTACTTGACGGGGCCTGACATGGGCGGGGAAACCCGCCAGCATCAGCCCTAGCCGCCTTCGTCTCAGTCGCCTGTATTGTACATGCGGCTGAGCGATGGGGATGGGGCAGTGCGACCTCCACGTAAGCTTGCGCCGAGCGAGGCCTTAGATTGGTTGTGGACTCTGATCTCTGGAGTACCCGGAAGTGCCTGGTACAGTCGGTACCTTCAGATCAGCAGAACTATCAAATCATGAATCGCGCGTCAGCGCAGACGTGCGTCTTATCTCTACACAAACAACGTCATTGCCCCGACCGAGGCACGACGACACCGACATCGAAGCTCCGAGCGCCAACATACTTATCATGGAGGGGGTACCACCTGGCATTCAACTCTCGTCGCAATGTTCGACCGTCGCCAACCGCAGCGCTCAATTGAGCATCGGATTCGAGAAGTTGGCGGCGCAGACGAACGCCGGGAGCCTCATTCACGATGAGCTGAGGGAGCTGGCGTCCATCGTGAACGCACTGTCACAAGGCGCGGAGGAGCTTTCGGCAAACCTGGCCAGTGCGGCCAATCTCCGTGAACAAGTTCGACGACAAATCTCGTCGTCCATGTCCTCATGCGAACTACTCCTCGGTGGCGTGACAACTGACTTGGAGGCAGCCTTGTCAGCCTCGGCACGAGAACAATCAGAACTACAACCCTTTACTGACGCTGCGGAGCTGTGGAGGCTTCACATTGAGACTGTATTTGCCTTTCAAGACATTGTACACCTGGAAGACGGGGAACAGCAGCAGGGAGTCTTCGCGGCGCTTGAGACCAAACTCGAAGACATCGAACGACTCATGGCTGAGTTTCACTTGTCACACCCAGGACCAGCTCCTGCGGCACCTGAACCATCAATACCGTCGGATAAACAAGGCGTGCTTCCTGACTACGATACAGCTGTTGCTAGCTCATCAACTCATGTTGCTACAACACCAAGTTGTGACGTCGGGCACCAGCAAGACGATGCACAGCCTGAGGTTCCCCTTTATCATGACTTGAGGCAACGGAAGGGTAAGTCGAAGGCCAAGTCAGCCAGAGCGAAAGGCGTCTTTGGCGGGTTCAACAATATTTTCAAGACGCTTTCCTCCAAAATCAATCCTATCGAACCCCTCGTGACACCACTTTGTCACGCTGCGGCTATTGGTAACATCCCGCAAATCAAGGGCCTTCTCGGCGAGGGCGCCAACATCAACGGCCATAATGAGAAGGGATACACCCCGTTGATCAGCGCTATTCTTGCAAATCGCCTCGACGCCGTCAATTTTCTCATTGATAATTACGCAAAGATCACCACGAAAGACTCGATCAAGAACATGCCGCCGTTGTTCCACGCTGCTGAGGCTGGATATACCGACATTTTGAAGGTTCTCCTCAGCCATGGCGCCGATCCGAAGGCCAGCAACACCATCGGAACTCCCCACTTCATTGGGACAGTCGAGAAGGCTCCGCTTGCCTCAGTCGCCCTGCTTTTAGAGCACGGCGCAGACCCCAACGCTGTCAGCGCCGTTGGTCGACACGTCCTGGTCGCTGCCGTCCAGCGCAAAGACCTTCCTGCTGTCCGCCTTCTCCTCGACCATGGCGCCAAAATTTCAGCTACCAACATCACCGGCCAGCCCCTACTGGGCGTCGCAGTGGCAAACAAGCAGCTCGACATGGTCAAGCTTCTCATCGACAATGGCGCCGACGTGAACGCCCGCGCCGGGGCAAACGGGTGTCCCCTCTCCATGGCCGTCAACTCGGGCAACATTGATCTCCTACGTCTGCTGCTCGCTTCCAACGCAAATCCAGACGGCAAGGACGTCAAGAGCGCCCCCGTGCTCGTCAACGCTATCTCCAGTGGCTCGCTTGAGATTGTCACGATGCTTCTCGAGGCGGGGGCCGACGCCGACTCCCGAGACATTACGGGCCGCGCCGGCTTACTCCTCGCTGTTCAGCAAGACAAGCTTCATATCGCACGCCTCCTACTCAAGCATGGCGCCGCCGCCACCATATCGAACCACTCGGGGACGCACTTCCTCACTGTAGTTGCGAAACAGTCCGTTTCGAGTGAGGGCGAAAAGTCTGAGCTGATGCGACTGCTTCTCAAGGCCGGCGCCAACCCAAACAAACACTCGCTGCCGTGGGGGTATCTATCCAATATGCCGCTAGGCCACTGCATCAAGCATGATAAGATTGAACTCGTGCGCGTGTTATTGGAAGGCGGGGCAGATCCGCACATCACCGTGGCGGCGAGTCCGAATTCGCCAAAGTCACCGTTCGAGTATGCGCTCAACCATGACAAGGTGGATGCGATGCGCATCATGCTAGAGCACCAAGACCGAGACAATAAGTGGTTCAAAGAGAGGGACCCTCTCAAGGCAGGATTCTCGAAAGCGGTCGAGACAGGCAAGAGGGAAATGGTGGACATGTTTCTAAATCAGGGGTTCGGAACCTTGGACCAGGCCATATTTCTCGCGGGAACTTCGGGGCAGAGGGAGCTGTTAGTGGCGCTCGAGCAAAGACAGAATACCGGGTCAAGGCGTGCATCACAAGCAGGATCATCCACGAAGTTGACTGAGCCGTCCGGTAGCCAGGATGCGGACGAGGCCCCGCCAGCATACGGATCAAGGCGCTCAACTGGGCACAGTATCGTGACCCAAACAGACCATTAGGGAGGCGGAAGCGGTGCTTTTGTTTGCATCTTCACGACGAACGACACTTAAAAACACGTGTCTTTAATTCTATGACATCCCTTCTAAACCCCTTTGTGTCTCGAAAGGCGTGCATGTCCCTCTCGGTAGGCATTTGGCTTGTGCATGGGGGCGCGGATTGAATATTGAGAAGACCGACGTCTACGAGTTGACTGTACTAAGAGCATTGAGATATTTTGGGACGGCTCTTTGGATCATATGCTTGTTAGCTGGTGTTTAGTGCTAGAGGTCATAGTTTGTTAAACAGAGTTCATAACTCACAACCCATTGAATCAAGCAATCTCTGGCCCCCGATAGGAAAGTAGATAAGATTAATGGTGAATAATGCAGTGAGATAGCTGTTGGTACTGTCATTGTTTGAGGATCATCAATTCCAAGTGACATTCTGAAAAGACCCTCGAAGACTACCAGCATAGCAAGGCAGGGTAGCAAGCTCGCCGTCATGTGGACAGATTCTTAGCCCCCAAAGACTTAACCATCAAGATAGGTAGCGTATCCTCAGCACATTTAGTTTCCATGTTCAAGGCAGAATCAATCAGTCATTCTCCTTTATTGATCTTTAACCTGAGGCTATCCGAGGCTATTTTATGCCACCACATGAGTAAGTAGATAGATAGTCGTGATGCAAACTCATGGTGTTTCGCGATGCTGCTTCCATGAATGACCAGAGAGACCACCTCACAGAATAGTGAAAAGTCTAGCAGCGGCAAATGCAGCTTCCGTAAGGTGGCTGAGATGGTGCGTTGCACTGCAAGACAGATAAGCGAAGGAACAGAGCATAAGGGAAGTCGAGGTTCAACTAACGTATGAGTTGGTGCATGCCCTGCCATACAGGGCCCTGCACTTGGCCGGGCACTGGTTGTTGCCATAGACGCAGCCCAAGCCCTGGCGAGCCTCAAGAGTGGCCGGGGTCACGTCGTTATCGGCGGTGGGAGCAGCAAGGGCCATAACGGCGCTGGCAATGACGAAGAGAATCGAGGTACGCATTTTCGATGTTGTAAGATAGAAGATAGGTGTTCGTTACAATTTGTTGGTTGATGCAACGATAGCTGGTGGGCATCGGATTGTTTTATAGTCACAACCGCTCCCTACAGAGCAGCTAGATCACGGTGACTCCTGAGTGTACAGCCAATCCGCAGTCTGTTTCATCACCAGACTCACTAGCAAGCAAATTGTGCAGGACTTGGCCCCAAGTATGGCAACATTCACCAGACGATCTCAACGCCAAAACGCCATGATGCGAGGGTGAGAGGAGTACATAGCCGCCATTCAAACGCTTTTCCTATTTCAAACAATACTCGATCAATGAGCCTCCGAATCTGATTTGGGAATGTTTAGCGGGCTCTGGTCGCTCAGCGTGGCCTCAGAACCTCTGTTGTCTGCATTTGACCTCTGGGATGCAGATCCCGCCACGGCCATACGCAAAACCATACCAGCTGGAACAGCGATCAAAATGCCATTTACCCCAAGTTGCATAGGCTAGCCTGTCTTTCACAGCATTATCGTCGGCGACCTCGCTCCGTCGATTGCATACTATTTGACGCCACTTCTGCGGGTCGGGCCTAGAATGAGCCGCTGCATTGGTGTCTTACACTGTGGTCTGGATGTTTGGCTAGGCATCTCCTCAGCGGATCGCTATACGCGCTGTCAAATTGGAGACACCAAATCGCCAGCGTTGTCACAATGCAGTGTTTTGATTGAAGCAGGCGCCAGCGGCGGCTGATCTGCAGCGTCAGTCCTGGATACAAGAGATTGCCGTAGGCGATCTTACGCCGGAGCCGGTGGTATGGCCAAGTCTGTGGGAAAAGCACTCAGCATCGTTCGCCACGTAAATCGAGATGTGAACAGATTTGACGCCCTGAAGAGGACGACGTCTTGTTAGCATGCAGCGAAGCAACATGGAGCCCGTGCATGGTCAAAACCCGGTCAAACTCGTCTCGAATTCTTACAATTTGTTATGTTAAGTTGGCGAACCTATATCTCGAACCACCTAGCGTCAACCCTCGGCTTGCACAATGTCAGCCACGACAGCATACTCATCGTGCGAAGCCGTGACCTCCAGTTCACCCTTCTCAAATCTCCCCTCAGGCAAGAACACGACACCATCGGCATCCGTAACCCCTGTAAACTCAAGCTTCGGCCCTTGTCGCACATGTACCAGCGCCCCCTTGACCGGGAAGGATCGCCAAACACAGGTGGTCCAGTCGGGACCTTGCGCTCCCCAAGGATCCGGATGAACGGCTCTCGCAGCTTGACCTTGATGAGCGGTAGCCTGAGAGATGGAATGGCCGCCCGATACACCCTCAACTCGGGGTCTCCAAGGAGATTAAGCGTGTATATGGCCCAGCGATCGGCGCCAGCTATGAAGCCAGACGTACCGAAGGTGGCAAGACGGCTGTCATTCAGCAATCCAAGATGACGTGTGGCAGTCAGGCGATGGAAGAAGGCGCGTTGGAAATTATCTCCCACGCCGATCCAGGAGAAGCGCGTATTGCCAATGTAGGCGACCGCGCCGCCGTTGGGATTCTTAATGAGAGCCTCGCTCATGGAGTCCTCCTCGTCAAACTGGTTGGTCAGGCAGGAGTCGGCATAGGCGATGAAGCCAAGGGGTCCATTGGTGAGGTTGCTCGCCGTGTTCACGGACAGTGAACAGCAGCCGTTGCTATTGCCGTGGCCAGAGAGCGAGACGATGTGCGGGGCTGCATCGAGAGCAGAGCGGAGATTCGAGACAGTCAAAAAATCTACCGGAGCAGCGATGCGATCGATAAAAGGCAAGTCAAACTCGTCTTCGTAGAAGCGCTGATGGCGGTCGATACCGGGCAGTTCGCTGCGGATCTGCTTGCGGAGGATTTCCTGGTCGGCCATGGAGCCGTCAGCGCCACGGGGATTGAATTCATACATCTGAGGTGTGCGCTCGGCAAGGGAGCCATGGATGATGACCCAAGGGCTTCGCATAGGCCAACTGATGCGCGTGCCGAAGATATTCATTTGGAATCTGCTTGGAGACGAATCTGTGGCCGACGTAGCAAAATACCAGCCTCGAACTACAGGATTCGCGTCCGTCTTGTAAGGAAGAACTCGCCGATCGTCCTCGGTGATACGCGCGATGACATCCCAGGCAAAAGAGTCTGGTGCTGCGTCTCTCTTGAGCAGGGACCGCGACTGTGTAGCATCGTGACTATACTGTCCGTTGGCGGGAACGGCATTGCCCGTTGGCCAGAAAACAGCGCGGGATCCCCAATCTGCGGCTGCGAGAACCAGATCACGAGGCCACTGGCGGTTTGCCGCCCGCCAACCCAGGCGGCCGAGTCTCTCGTATGCCAGCGTCTTATTCACAAAGGTGTTGGCCTCGGCTGCGGTCTCAACTGGAGCACGGCCAACACTGAGCTCGGTCTGCAGGTTAACTCCATCAATATCAGAGCCGTCAAGACGGAATTGGCCGTAAACGCCGTTCCCAATAGCATCCCAATCATGTGGTGGCGTGTACACGTAGGGCATTTGGAAAGTGACTGGCCCGAACCTAACCGGTCTTGTTCGTACAACCCAGCTGGTAAGACTGGCATAGTAGAAGTCGGTTGGCAGCGTGTTCCAGGCATAGATGAACTGCAGCCCAGCGTTCACCAGCGACGATGGGCCCTCGACACGAACAAAATTGGTCGGCGTTGCGCTTCGCGTGGCGTAGTCGTCGGCTGTTGTAAAGTACCAACCGGGCGACGTGCTGCTCGAAGTACCAGCCGCGTCGTACCGGATGAGAGCTCCCGTGTCGGGTCTGACAAGCAGGTTGTCCGTGCTCGCACCCCACCAGGTACCGGGGTTCACGGCGTGGATGCGAAGATGAGAGCCTGTCCAGAAAGACTTGTTGTTGGCAGGCGGATTGACCGTCAGCGGAGGCTCAATTCCACCCTCGAGCGCACCCGCCACTCGACGCACAGGAACAATGCTCGTGTCACCGCCGAGAAGAAGCCAGTTGACGCCCCAGCGGGTGCGGACATCCTTGAGGAACCGACGGATGACCTCCTGGAGATCACGAGATCCAGCGCGGAAGTTACCCCAGCGACCCGCTACGATATCTGTGATCGAGACGACCCTAGTGGAAATACCACGGGCGCGCTTGGCTTCAGCGAGACGCTCAAACTCCTTGATAAGGCCCGGTCGAGAAACTCCAGGAGCGATAGCCACGGGGTCCCAGGTCACATCATCCGTGATGATGAGGTAGTCGCTTCGCAGCTCAATGATGGGCCAGTCCCGACGAATGCTGCCGATCACGATGGGGTTGATGACCTGTGAGATCGCCATATCCCGAAGGCGTGACGCCTCGGCAGCACCACTGATAAAACGCTCTGGCTCGGGAATAACACGACTCTTGTCGACATCTTTGCCATAGATCTTGGAGAACTCGGCAATCGCTTCGTTTTGGTCTTTGTCTGTCATGCATGCCGTCTTGACAGCGTCGATGGCAAGCTGGACATGTGTGCACAGCTCCAACTGGCCCTTAAGTGTATACCGGATGGGCGTCACCTCAACGACGGCAATGCGGTTAGCCCCTATGGTCTCAATGCGGACAGCTTGTACAATGTGTGGTGGATTCTTGGCTGCCTCCACGTAGGCTTCGGGGATCGGTGGCGCGAAAGGGGAAGCTGGCAGTTTATCCTTCTCGTCAACCGGGGACCGGTCAGGGCGATGAATGGACCGGCAGGTGCAGTCACCGGCGCAGTGGAGCGTCGTGTCTCCGGCAGGACGGGAACCTTGAAACTCTCCGCCGCCGCCTGGCCGGTACTGTTGCGCGGGAACGACCAGCGTCCCCGCGTCCGCGACAAGCTCCCATTTTTCCTCGACAATCTTTAGACTGCCAGGCCAGAAAGGTTCGGGGAGAGCAAGGCGCAACTGAGTTCGTGGGAGGGCGGGAGTGCCAGGCTCTCCAGTGCTGTTCAGATCCTCGAGCTTGACAATGACGCCGAAGGGCGTCTGGCTCAAGGTCAGACCCTTTGTATCGAAGTGAAGCGACACACAGACTGAATTGTCCTTGGTCTTGTGTACTTCGGTGCGCATATTGATAATAGCAGAACAGACGATACTGGGTGGGGTGGTATACAAGTAATGTTGAAAACAACGTTGGAGGAAGTATCAGATGTAGATCGGCAACGTGAGGCTCTCCCCATAATTCTCTGAAACCTTTGTAATTTATATCATCAAAGGGTCCTCGTCGTCAAAATAATCTGGGCGAAGCTTTCGCGATGCATCCAGCTGACTTACAGTTCGCTCCCACGCTGCAGCCCTTCGGACTTCAGCTGCGGCTACTCACGCGGCTGACCCCGACGCCATTGCGACGCCCAGGGACAAATCCTATTGATGAAAGACAGCACACCGAGAAGCCACTTGATAGGCAACAACGACAATATGGCGGTGGCTGAAATTGTGTTGACCACTCAGCCTTCGGCAATGTAACTTTGGAAACATGCAAAAGTCCTGGACCTGTGGGATGAAGTTATTTGGGACGCCCTTTCGCCCAGGGCTGAGCTCGTGTTTGAAAGTCTTGACGCTGAGATGCGTGCCTATTTTTCGAATGGTTGCGTTATCCTCCTGGCGTCATGGAGCCTGGTCTAGCCCGTGTGTGAATCTGTTCTCGCAGGTTCATCACATGGTATTTTCAGGGTTCACCTGACTGATACTTGAACAGGCTGATGCTATCCCCTTTTGGCTTGTCCAGCTGGCCTTCACAAGGCAACTTTGACCTTGCTGCTGGTAGAGACCATTCTTTGTCTAGGCTGAGCCATCCCTGTAGCCTATCTTGATCGTGCATCCAGGCTGACGGTGCAGATGGGTCAGCTCTTGGTCACCTTGGGCCTACAGTCCGACATAACCGTGATTTGAAACTGGCGTGTCGACGGTGACTGAAAAACCTCGTGGCCAGTGCTTAATGATAATCGACATCCGATTCGGCTTACCACCGAGCTATGATCTCTCGGAGACGCCATCGGAACTGGCTGAGTGGGACAATAGCAAATAGGCTTCTCGGTCATTGTCTCGAAAGATCGCATCGAAGACTGTGTTCCCGTTAACGTTGTACGTCTAGAAACATCAGTCTGGGGTCTCTTCCTCTGAAGCAGCGCCAATAACGGACGTCGTGCCAGGCGGACTTGATCTACAGTCGCCTGAGAACTAATGCGATACGCTCTCCTAGTGAGCTGAACGCATCCATGTGTGACGTCTTGCCCATGGCCCGACAGATGCAAATTGTTGTGGTAAGAGCTCACGTTCATCGCCCTCCGAGCATGGCAAGGTTCAGACAACCCTGTCGGTAATGAACGAAGCCGGTACTCTTGGAACTCTCGCAGCGTGCTCACAGTACGCGATGAGGTGTGCCCAGGCTGCGCACTCATGCCAAGGCACGTGATTGAAGACATCAGGAGCACTAGCATGATGTTCGTTATACAACAGATTGAATTACGGCGACAGAAGTCTCTTGCTGGCAGGAACACGAGTTAAATATTCCTCAATCTCATAAACCCGAGAACTCGTCTTTCGGTCGCAGCATTGCGCCATGTCCTAAATCGATGCCAGAGCGCTGGGTAGCCCTGCCGGTGAGCCCGGAGGCCCCGTACGTCATCTAAATCTCCCCAAAAGCCGCGAATCACGCCGGCGAATAACCCCGGGCGGGCAAGCTGCCCCGAGTCACGGCGTGGCTGAGCATGGATCTCACGAAGGAAAGCCCCCGCACAGGACTGCAAGAGGCGTCTGCAGGCACCACAGAATAAGAATAAGCTTACCGGGTCAATCGTGAGCTAGGCGTTGGGCACCTTCCCGAACAAGCAGGTGGCTAAAGGATTCAGTGACCTGCCGAAAGCTGGCAGCCAAGCAGATGATCGCTTCTCGAGAGCTCCTCATGCCAAGATATTCAAGTCCGGCGGGGTCGCCAACCAGGGCCTGCTTATCTCGAGACTTGTCACCTGCCAAGCCCACTACTGTAGCATCGCGTCTTACGTGCTTGCGTCTCGCCGGCGTCGGTCGAAGAAAACACTGGCGACGAGCTCGATAATCCGCCAGCCTCCTCATCATCGTGGCCATGGCATTCTCCACCCCGATGCTTGCCACGCCGGTCTGGCGGAGTCCCAAAGGACCTTGAGAACTCCATGGCAATCGTCTCTGAGAGGAAGGTGATCAACAGGTACTCCAGGTACATAAAGATCGACAGTCCCGGGTGGTAGCATCGCGTTCTATCACCCTATCGAAGTCGCATCGTCCTCCTGGTACTCTTCATTGGGTTTACTTCAATACCGACATCGTCAACATGGTCCGTCTTACTTCTGCCGTCCTCGGTTCTGCCGTGGCTGGCCTGGCCAGCGCGGCTGGCGCCGGTTCCAAGGAACAATACGCCTCGGGTGAGGTTCACCACCGCATCATGGGCATCAAGATGGTTTGTTCCCTTCAGCACGTCCCTTCCCAACATGGCTGATGCTAACAAGCTTTTCAGGCCCAGTGGGAGGCTGAGATGGCCAATGGTGAAATGGACGCCGCGCGCTTCCCTGAGCTTGGTTATACTCCTTGCGTGAACGGGTTCGCTGCCGCCATTCCTGGCGACCCTCTTAACACCTTCAGGTGTAGCAATGTATGGAGCTACCCTCTTCCTTCTCAAATCAACTCAGACCATTAATGACGGTTATTCTACAGATTGACCTCTACCACTTCCTGACCCACGAGCAGCTCGGCAGCTGGGGTGGCCGTGGCTCCTCCTCCTGGGGTTGGACTTCTGCCGATGGCCGTGAATTCGTTGCCATTGGCCAGTACGACGGGACCGCCTTTGCTGAGATCACCAAAGAGGGCAAGCTCAGCTACGTTGGTCGTCTTCCGCAGTACGACGCCATTGGCTCCAACTGGCGTGAGATTCGTATCGTCGGCGACATTGTTGTCATTGGCTCTGAGGCCATCAAGCATGGCGTCCAGTTCTTCGACATGAAGAAGGTCCTCGACCTTGACCCTGCCAACCCCAAGAACTTCACGCAGGCCGATCTGACCGGTCACTGGGACGAGCTTCCTGTCGGCCGTACCCACAACATTGTGGTCAACCACGAGCTCAACTACGCCATCGCTGCTGGCTCCGTCGGTGGCAACGCAACCATTCGTGTCCGAGACAACCTGCCCTGCCGTGGCGGGTTGATCTTCCTTGACATCAGCGACCCAACAAACGTCACTAGCCCTGGGTGCGCTGCCGGCGACGGCTACGTTCACGACGCCGAATGTCTCGTGTACCGTGGCCCCGACACACGCTACTACGGCCGTGATATCTGCTACGGCTACAACGAGGACACTCTCACCATTTACGACGTGACGAACAAGGTCGGTAACGTCACCAACATCATCTCCATCTCCGACTTCCCTGGCGCCGAGTACATCCACCAGGGCGTCGTCAACAATGAGACATGGCAGGAGTACCTCTTCCTCGACGACGAGTTTGATGAGCGCGACGCCAAGGTCGGTCCCATGACCAAGGGTCTTCCCACCACCCACATATTCGACATCCGTGACCTCGAGAAGCCCGTCTACACTGGAAACTACGCTGGCAAGACTCGCTCCATTGACCACAACCAGTACATCGTCAACGGTCTCCTCTACCAGTCCAACTACGGCAACGGCCTCAACGTTCTCGACACCAGCAGCGTTACCAAGGACCCTACCGGTGCCAGCATCTGCGAGGTCGGCCACTTTGATATCCACCCCGAGGACGATGAGGCGCCCGGCGGCGGCGTGGTCGCCTTCACCGGCTCGTGGTCTTCGTACGCCAACTTCAAGTCCGGCTTCATCTTCGTCCACACCATTGAGCGCGGCAGCTTCGTCGTCAAGCTGACCTCCAAGACGTGCCCCAAGCCCCCCAAGTGCAGCTCCAACAACTGCATGCGCGCCCTCCGCGCCTCGCACATCCCCGGCCGTCTCGAGGATTCGATTGAGTTCTGTGGTAACTTCACCGTCCGCCAGGAGACCGACGAAAAGCTCGTGCCGTCCTACGCCGCCAAGGCCTGCGGTGGCGAGAACCGCGATGTCGTCGAGCGCGTCAGCAGCGCCTGCGCTTGTATTCCCAAGACGGAGGTGCCTGAGCTCCCCCGGACGACCACCCGTCCCCCTGTGCCCACGGTCCTCCCCCCTTGAAGATTGCGCGCCCTCTACTAGTAAACATAGGCGCGCCCTATTCTGCGCCTAGGACCCATGGAATTGACAGTCGTGGGGGAAAATGAATCATGAGCCACATACGAAGAAAGAAACTTTCCACATTCCGTTCATATGTTTCTTTGCATGGCGTGACTGAACCTAATTTCGGAGCCGGAAGCCGCTCCGATGTGTCAACAGTAGCGGCCTCCACTCGACTTTGGTGCAGAAGCCGCTTAATCCTCAACTGTTGACCAGGTTCATCAACTCACTTAGGGCCCTGACTCCCGCCCTAGCCTCCAATCCCTGTAGTACCTGTCAAAAAGGTAGGCAGGCCGTTCCAGAATCCTGACTGAAATGTCTCACATGAATCCAGTGGGGTAGAAGATGTGGTCTGAGGCAACTAAACATGCCATTATTTGCCTTCCGGCAGTTTAGCTTTAGCATTGCGTGCCCCCTTGGTGTGAGAATTCCCTTGCAACGAGCGAGGGACGTAAATTACCGCACCAGCTCTTCATTCCTGCTGTGGTCAATTTGCCTTGTCCTCGTAGAACCTATGAGGCAGACCAGACCGTTGGTGTTCCTTAGAAAGCTTAGGTAGGTTCTGACAGCAATTTATCCGACACAAACGCTAATCGGGAAACGCTACGTGAGCCTTGTCACGCTACTGACCGCTTCGCCAACATGGCGCCGCGGGAGCCGAAGGAGCTGCGCTGATACCAAGATAAGGTACCAAAAGAAGCTAGTAGGTCGCTGAAATCGATCGCCAGTCGACTGCCGTTCGCAGAATTACTAGTGCTTTACGTCAAACTGTATGAGGAGGCCCTCACCAACTCATGGACTCGCAGGTCCACGTTTGACACCTTGATGCGCATCGCTGACCAGGCAATCAAGGGGTTGGAAGGAAGCTTCGCCCTCGCATCACTGATCCTGGAAAGCAATTCCATGTTCTCATGACGTGGCTACCACATCTGCAAAGCATCCAACCCCTGCTGATGAACGGCTCCGAATTCTTGGATTAGATTCTAATATCTGCTTCTCCGGCCGTGTGTCCCGCATTAGCTGCTCCAGAATGCAGGTCCCATAACTGAGCCGCCAGTAGGCTCTCCTGAGGAATGGCAACTGGCTCGTCGGCGATGAAACACCTGCTATGTAGGTATGTAGGCCAAGGGATGATTGTATGAGGACAGGCCTTTTAAGTTTGGCTTGTCCATAGGCCTTCGCCTACCGCGTCCATCCGGTCTGCTGCCTGTTCTTTCCATCTGCCGGTCCATCACTGTCCAAATCTTCCTCTGAGATCCAGACCTCGGTTCTCTTCTGGATACCAGGCTCCAGTGGGATGTCACTGTGGTCGCTTTTGGCGTTCGATCCCCTGCGCCCCGCCTGGACATACGTCTCAGGGCGCCCAACGTTGTCTCCACGGAGCTTGCTCGCCAAGTAGGCGGAGCGAGATTGCGAGTTTGGGGCGTAGGAGGAGTTGGTCGGGGTTTCTTTCTCGCCAAAAAAATAGACATAGATCTGGCGAGACAGGGCAACGTTGGCGGCGATGATACCCAGGAACAGCTCGGCATTGGAATAGATGGCGGTTCTGGCATATACCCCTGCGTGGTCCTTGTGGTTAGCAAACAACAGGTACAACAGCCGTGTGGTGAACATACAACTGAGATCCGACGTGACGAGGCCTAACGATGATGCCCTCACTATACCAAATCCAGTGGCGCTGCAGATCATCAGCGACATGAACCGCAACATGTACCCAACAGGCCTTCGACTCACATCAGGCCGAGCCCCATGAGGCAGCAGACAGAAACCTTAGTCTTGAATGGAATTTGAACATTCCATACAACGACTAGCGGGAGGAACGAGCAGAGAAGATCCGTCAGCACCGAGTAGGCTGCGCACAGGTGGATGGGTCAGTGGTGATCCATACAATGTTTGAGAGGGGAGGGGCCCGCAACATACAGATCGTCAGATAGATCGAGTAGATCCGAATCTTTGGTTCCCAGCACGTGCCAACACCTGTCCAGTACGCCGAGACAGGATCACACTCCGCCAGCAGGATGATGATACAGCCAAAGTTCGTCACAACAAGCCCAGCCATAACGCTATACAGGGTGATTTTCAGCGGCTTCGTGTTCTTGATGCGTAGGAGAAGAAGCATGATCGAACACTTGAGCAAGCAGATGCTTGCGAACAGGAGAATCTGCGCGAACCAGCCCAACATGTTGCTAGTCTGATAATCGTGTTTCTCGAGGTACCACCTGTGTCGCCCGTTTCCAAATGTACCCTGCGCAACCTGTACTCCGAATCGAGCCGTGGCGAGGACCGTCACCATGGCCATGGTGTAGTCGTCCCATCCCAGGTTGCGGCGCGCGAGACGCACCCACAAGCGGAGGATGCTGGTGATGATGACAAAGGCTATAAGCGTACCAGATATGCCAATCAGCGATGGGTTGATATTTTCGTCCGGTGGTAGCGGGTTCGGGGGTTTGACGACGGCCATGATGAGGGAGGGAGAATAGGTCGTAGGTATATGCCCAGCAAAGATCTAACAATCAGAGCACTGTAGCTTGACGAAGGAGAAAAGAGGGTTTAGGGATCAACATCCAACGTTTGGGGCTCATGCGATTGTTGCTAGTAATGTATAATCTCGTCCGAACCACTTGAGACCTGTTCCGCTTGTTGACAGAGCCGGGAAAGTTGCCGTAAGTACCATGTAAACCGGTGAGGAGGCAGGTTGCCATAGCGGACAGACTGAAAGCTCCGAGTAGGGGGGAAGGTTGAAGCTGCCGTCAGAGGCTGTAACCCGACCCTTGGCCGGTCTTTGTCCCTCGTGTTGACCGTGGGGGATGGTTGCCAGAGCTGAGTTCGTCCTCTGCTGGCCCTTGAAGATTATGACATTTCAGCAGGGGGGATGACTCGACGTGTTCCTGGCAGCGTGGGCATTTCCACGTGTGCGAACAGGTTCAAGCAGCGCCCTTGTACAGAAATGGCCATCGCACGGCACAAACTGACAAACCACGTTGTTTTCCTATCAAGAAACTTTCAACCATCGAACCATGCACACCACTGCCGTCCTCTCGTGGTGGAGTGGATCATGCCTCCTTGCTTTTCCCAAGTATTCCTTACCCTCGCTTAGAACAGAGAGGGGAAACGCGCCACCACGGGCGAAGGCGCAATATACACGAGTCACGACTCAGTCGGCTAAATGGCCCGTTCCGTTCGGCCTGCGCTTTCTTGCCAGGCATCCAGCCACGGCGCATACTTGGTATGGGTGATGCATGGTCCCCCAGGACCCCTGCCCTGCTGTCGGGGCCCCTTCTGTAGTGAATGCCACCTACCCCTGGAGTTATGATAATGCAACAGAACAGCCTCCCTCGCTACCGTTGTTACTAGGCGAACAGCATTCAATCAGTCGCAGTACCATGCCAGAGGGTTCTTAGCGTCTGGTCTCGTCTATATCGGGTGTCACGTTATTCAGGCGAGGGAAATGATGCTGTCCCCGCTCCAGTTCGAAGCAAAACAAACCACGTTTTTTTTAATATAAGGGAAGACGACTCGCTTCACAACCTACCTACCTATGTGGGAGACTCGGCAGCAGCGTTGCCACGTCGCTTATTAACTTCCTCTGCACAGCACGGCCCCGCGTCCATTGTCGACAATGCTCATTGCATCGGGCCTAACCCTCGCTGCCCTCGTGGCATGCGTCTCGGGTGCTCCTCCAACGAAGCGATCAGGCTGCAGCAGCGCCACCTACGATTATGTATGTTTCATCTTATGCTGTTTCCGTGTTGTTCTTTGACCTTTGAGTCCCCATCCCCTTGCTCTGCACGAGGGTTGCTACCCCCTCGAAAGCCATTCTACCCAGGAGTTCTAACAGAAATGTCACACTTGTAGATTGTTGTGGGTGGTGGCACCGCTGGTGTAGCTGTCGCTGCTCGTCTAAGCGAGGGTCTGCCCAGCGCCAAGATCCTTTTGATCGAAGCCGGCCCTGCCGTCTCGGATGAGCCCAAGATCAACATTCCGGGCATGAAGGGCTCGACTCTTGGCACCAAGTACGACTGGAACTTCACCACTGTCCCTCAACAGAATGTGAACAACCGAGTGTTCCCTGTCAACCGCGGTAGGGTCGTCGGCGGCAGCTCCGCGCTCAATCTCATGACGTACGATCGCGCTGCCGTTGCCGAGTACAACAGCTGGGAAGAACTCGGTAACAAGGGATGGAACTGGAAGAACATGATTGCTGCCATGATGAAGTCTGAGACGTTCACCGGTAAGAACACAGACACCTACGGCTCTGCGGGTGTCGGCGACAGCGGCCCTGTCAAGGCTGTGGTCAACCGCGAGATCCCGGTTCAGCAGGAGAGCTGGATCCCGACATTGAACGCCCTCGGAATCGAGACGAACCTCGAGTCCTTGGGTGGCAACCCCCTTGGCGTCATGTACCAGCCCAGCAGCATCGACGCGACCATCTACAACCGCTCCTACAGTGCAAATGCCTATTTGCCCATCGCCGAGCCAAACCTTCGCGTCTTGTCAGACACTACCGTAGCCAAGGTCAATCTGGTGGCAGCCGGCGGTGGCCATGTCGCGACCGGCGTGACCCTGGCCAACGGCACTTTCATTCGCGCCAGGGCAGAAGTAATCGTGTCCGCTGGTTCTGTTCAAAGCCCTGCCCTGTTGGAGGTATCCGGTATTGGCCAGGAATCGGTCCTCGCCGCCGCTGGTATTGAACAGTTGATCGACCTCCCCGGCGTGGGCGAGAACCTTCAGGACCACCTCCGTATCATGACCTCTTATCAGCTCAAGCCGGAATTCCTTTCCTTCGACGTCTTGCGATCAAACGCCACATTTGCCGCCGAGCAGCTCGCGCTCTGGAATGCTCGCAAGAAGTCACTCTACGACTACACCGGCAGCGGCTATACCTTCACGACCTGGCAGCAGGCCATCGGCGACCACTCTAACCTCGTCGCGCTCGCCAAAACGGCGGCCGGCGAAGACGCTAGCGCCGTCGACAAGAAGAAGATTGAATTCCTCAACGACCCTTCCGTCCCGCAGCTGGAGGTCATCTTTTCGGACGGCTACACGGGTGTCAAGGGTTACCCGCCGGCTAGTTCGCCTCTCTTTGGTCAGGGCTTCTTCACCCTCATCGGCGTCGTCATGCACCCCCTGAGCCGCGGCAGCATTCACATCAACCCTACAAACCCGAGCGGCAAACCCGTCATCAAACCCCAACTACCTCGGCCACGAGCACGACATTGAAAGCCGTGGTTCAAACGGTCAAAGTACTGCCGCAAGGATCGCCACAACCGAACCCATGAAGTCCCTCTGGGTCAACGAGTACGAGCCCGGCCTGACAACGTGCAGACCGACGCCCAGTGGAGAGATTTCGCCCTCAAGACCACTCTCAGCATCTTCCACCCTAGCGGCACTTGCGCCATGCTGCCGCAGAAGGACGGTGGCGTCGTTGACCCGAACCTCAAGGTGTACGGCACCTCGAACCTGCGCGTCGTCGACGCCAGCATCATCCCTCTGCTGATCTCTGCCCACATCCAAACCGCTGTGTACGGTATTGCTGAGATCGCGGCGGAGAAGATCATTGCAGATGCCGCCAAGAGCGCGGCCCAAGAAAGCCGCCAGGATGGCTTGAACGTCCTCGGGATACTGGTGACGGAATTGTACATACTTTAGAGCTTCTAGGTTCACACCTACTATGCTGGGTGCAAACAAGCCGCATCCCCTGCGACGTGGGCCTCGAGCTGTTCTCATTCGAATGTAGGCATATGGTCTTCAGCATTGCGTCGGTGCAAATTACCCTCTTTTTAAATATTACTGAACAAGCTTTCCTTGATTCTAATCAAACCTGCGCCAACGCCCTATGACCGTTGTAAAAATCTCATCCACACTCCGTTGCCCCTAGTCCTTGTGGACTACCTTAGCTCCCGCTCCAGCTCAGTCTGTGCCATCCCGACCGTGTTGCCTATTCGGTCTCTCACGAGATATCGGTGGCAAGTGGATTAATCATCGTAATACCTTTTCGAGGCATGTGAGTGGGTGTAGGCCTTGGCGTGTTTTGTCGTGGGCTTGCAACCCCGCACCTCGAACGGGACCAACAAAAACATACCAATGCCATTGAGGCATAAAAGAATGGACAGTGCGCGAATCGAACGCGCGACCTTCAGCAGGCACTGGAGTTGTAACGACAAATCCTCGATGCTAAGCAGACGTTATACCACTAAACCAATCGCCCAATGATGGGTGGCGGCCTCGAATGGCACGTATATGATCGTGTAGGTCAAGGACACAAGAGGAGCTCAATCCAAGCCAACCTCGCATCACGCTGCTGCCCATCTGGTTTATGATGTCTGCCGGGGTTTTACTTTATCAAATGAAGAGCTGATGCACGACAGGAGCGCCAGCTTGAGTCAATCAACGCGTTGGCGGGGGTTCATTGGCGCCATGATGTGGACTCGGAGCCAAAGAACCAGTCTTTTTGTTCGGAGGATGTACTGCTACTCGATACGTATACTCATCCTTTGATGGAGTGCCCTGATAGCAACAGGTAATCTATACCAGGCTTTTCGCTCCATTCAAGTTTTGAGATCCCTTGCCAGACATGGTTCGTAGCGCTCACGGGCCTTCTGTAGACAGTTGCTCTCTAGCTTGTAGCAGACTAAGTTTCAGCGATCATGGCCAATGTTGAATGTGCTTAGCAAATACAATTGCTTTCCCATTAGTCTGCCCAAGAAGCTTGAGGAGTGAGACCTGTTAAAGAAGGTGTTGCAATGGTTTTCTGATTCGGATTCATCTCTAACCAGTTTAACAGAATCGACGAGGTGCTGGCCAGCATCCTGCATCTACGTGGTTACCTTGACCTCACGAGAAGAGGCACGAGATTTGTAACATGGTTGGTGCATGAAAAGGGACTGGACTTGGTTCGTGGATTTTGTCTAATTCAAGATGAATATGTTATCTAAACTCTTGGTAAATGGTGTAGGCTGTAGTGTTTTCAGTGGCTCAAGTCACTATGTGGAGCAGAGGCTAGTCGCCACGTGCAGCAGCAGGTGTGGAAGAAGCTGATGATCGAAAATTACTCCGAATGCAAGTCATATCTTGGTGCTGAGGGGTTCGCGGACATGAGCCCAATCCCGCAATCTACACCATGTTTCGATCAAAGTATTCCCCGTCTACGCGCCAATGCGAATGCAAGGCACCTCCATTGCATTTACCGGGCATTGCGGCGAAGTTGTTGTTCCGCTCTCTGCTTCCAATATTCAGGCCTGTTCACAATAAGCTCGTACCATCATCAATTCCTATCGGCTGTACCCAAGCACCATAATCCAACTCGACTCGACAGGTTGTTAACATAGACTCAAACTCTGATCATTGCTAGGTAGACGATCTGCACCGGGGATTTAAAGAACGGCACGGTATAGATGCAGGATTCGTCGCACGCTAATGTAACGCCGTCCAAGAACCTGAAGTATCAACAACCTCCGATTGGGCCGCATATGAAAACAAGGCGACCCCAGGATTGCTGCGCGCGCAGCAATCCAGGACTGCCGAAGGGCGGGGAAATCATATGTCACAGCAAGCCACGAGGGCAATCATTTCCAGAAAAAGACATTCGGAGGGACATAATCCTTCCCATTCCTATGCCTTGGCCGCCACCACATGATACAAGTCCAACAACACGCATGAAAGCCAATTGTCCACCAATTGACCTAGAAAGAAAGTCAAGGAAACCAGGAAAGTGTCTTGTGGACTTAATTCTGATCAAGGCGATGCTGTAACATTTCCAGACATTCATATGAGCCTGCGGCTTCGAAGGGATGTAGAAAAGTCAACAAGTATAAATAATTACGCGTTATGGCCCGCCGAGACTTAATATTCTGGTAACTTGACAAGCGAATTCTCTTACTCCCAGACCAGCCGCTGCCTTTTAGTCAGAATGAAGTTTTCGGCCACTCTTTGGCTCACGCCACTTATCGCCTCGACGGTTCTCGCATGCAATGGTTACACCGGTGGTGTACCCGTGGCCACGAACACTGTCACCAAGTCTACCTACATCGAGGTCAAGGCCGGCGAGGTCTACGACGGCCAATGGCAGCGTTTCGACCGCGGCAGCGGTGCTTGCGGTGGCGATAACGAAGGCGGTATGTCAAAAGAACCAACACAGCAAAGCTCCTACCATCCCTAAGACTGAAGACTGAATCCATTTGCAGACTACAAAGATGCCGTCTTCTACCTTCGCGCCGGTGCTACCCTGAAGAACGCAATCATCGGCAAGAACCAGGCAGAAGGTGTTCATTGCGATGGCCACTGCACCCTTGAGTTTGTCTGGTTCGAAGACGTCTGCGAGGACGCCATTTCCATCAAGAACGACAAGGCTGGCGCCCACTCCTGGATCATCGGCGGCGGTGCTTACAAAGCCTCAGATAAGGTCGTGCAGCATAACGGATGCGGAACAGTCAATATCATCAACTTCTTCGTCCAGGACTACGGGAAGCTCTACCGTTCGTGCGGCAACGTATGTCTTCGTCTCGTGGTGCGTTTTGGATGATTTCGCTGACCTCTCCGATAGTGCAGCTCACAGTGTAAGCGCAACGTCTACATTGAGGGTGTAACGGCCAGAAACGGCGGAGAACTTGCGGGCATTAACAAGAACTTTGGTGATACTGCTACGCTGAAGAATGTGTGCACTGATGCCAAGACTCCCTGCCAGTTCTACCAGGGATGCGCTGGTGGCTGTGAGCCTAAGAAAGACGGTGCTTGCTCCGGTTGAAGGGCGGTTTTCCTCTGGAAGCAATGCCTCATGGAAAGAAAGTAGTCGTGGGGTCCATAGACCGGCTGCGATCTGATTGCCCACGCCTTGCCTGCGTGTTTCACGGGAAATGTCACGACCATGTAGCTTCAGGAGCATCAACTTGTTGAACCGCCCCGCAGAAATATTCGTGCATGAATGAAATTTGGTGTAGCCATTCTTATCAAGGCCCGTGAATCATATTGTCCAGCTTCACATTAGTGGCTTGATGGATGACTTAGGGGAAGACAGATAAATTCTTATGCGATTCCCTTCTGTTCATCACAACGCTGCGTATCATCATGTCGATGTTCATCCGAGCACCTTACGAGGTATGGCCTGGAGGAGTACGTTTCATTCCTCGTAATGGACAGAGTATTATTTCGTAAACGAAGTGAGA